TCTGTGCTTCCAATGCAGGGGGGACAGGTTCAATCCATGGTGGGGGAACTAAGATCCAAAATAAAAGTCCTAAAATTAAAAAAAAGAAATTTACTAGAGTGTTTAAGACATACGCTAGAATGAGTCAGTGACATCCATGTACTTAGCAGACATTTAAAACGTCAGACCTTGCCCTTGCCCCTTAGGGACCCATCTCCAGTTACCTCTCCTTTCCCTGCTCAGAGCTGACCACTGTGGATGGTGATTTTCATTCCCTTTCAGCTTTCTTCTGTGTTAAACATACTCACCAACACTGCAGCCTTGCCCCTCCGGGGTGCACGTCCCTCCTCCGGCCAGATCATTGTACAGATGGGAGCACTAAGGCCCATGAGGGTGTCGCTTGCAGCTGTACAGCCAAGAAGCAGCAAAGCCTGGGGCTGAAATCCAGAGCCTGCGAACCCCAGATTCCTCTTCCTTATTCATTGGTGACTGGCCCTGAGGTGAAAAATCCAGGCAAGCCAGCCTTGGGGTTGGGGGGAGCCCCAGAAGCCAGGAGGCCCGATTTTAGCTCCCCTATATCTTCTGGGCTCCCAAACCCAGGTTGTTTTTTATTGTGACTTCATCATAAAATACAGAAAAATATGTTCAACGTATTTTATACAGTACAGTATAACAAATAACTGTAAAGCTGTGATTCTCTGTAATCACAATAGAACATTGTCAGCTCCCAGAAACCTCCCTCCTCTGTTACTCCCAAATGTAACAACTCTCCTGACTTTTGGTTATTTGCTTCCTTGATCTTCTGCACAGTTTTACAAGTGAGAAACAAATGGTGTCATGTTGCCTGTTCTGAACTTGCTGTCCATGGACTCATACTTGATATGTCATTTGGCGTCTGGCTTCTTTCACTCCGTGTAAAGTTGTTACGCTTCATCCCTGTTGTAGGTATCAGTAGTTCGGTCCCTGTGTGGTGTTGTGCTCTATGAATTTACCTTAGTTTGTTTATCCATTCTCCTGTGGGTGGATACCTGGTCTGTTTCTAGTTTTGAGGTTACTGTGAATGTTGCTGCTGTGAACATTCTAGTACATGTCATTTGGTAAACAAAGGCACTCATTTCTGTTAGAGGGCTGTGGAATTGCTGGTTCATGGGGTAGTTTTTAATTGAGTTTTAATTGTTATTGCCAAACAGTTTTCCATAGTGGTTGAACCATTTTATACTCCCAGCAGTACCGATTCCTTTACATTTTTGACAACGCTTGGAGTTGTCAGTTTTTAAAATTTTAGCCATCCTGGTGGGTGGTTTCAATTTGCATTTCCCCATAACTAATGAAATGGTGCGCGTTCCTTCATTGTGTGAGTGTCCTCTCCTTTGAGGTGCCCTTGCTCTTTTCACCTTGCCTCCCAGGTGGCTCACCTCTAACTGACAGCTGTAGCTCCTGCGCAGACCCTCAGCGATTGAAGCCCAGACACCCTACGGAGCAGTGGGTGGGGTGGGGCCATGCAGACACTCCCCTGCTGTGCTGATGCCTGGCTTCCAGAGGCAGGTCTGGGTGTCCTCCATCGGGAGCTCCCCAGGGAGCAGGCCATCTTCTTGGCTGTGGTGATGGTGTTTCATCACTGCAGGACTGCGTCACAGATACCTCAGCTGACGTGCCACCCTCAGTGGGAGGATGGGCAGCATCCAGGCAGGATGCAGGGGATCTTTCAGTTCCTCCCCCACCCTCGCCCGAGCTGCTGCTTGCTGGCTTTTTAGCCGCTGCAGTGAGAATGTAAAAAGTGGCTCTGGTGTGCCGAGCAGCAGCCAGGGCCTCCACCACTCCTCAGCTGGGAGACCCAAAGTAAACAGTTCCCCTCTCTCAGCCTCTGCCCTGCCCTGGGCATGGTCATGGCCCTCTGGTGGGGTGGTTGGGAGTGATCAGGAGAGGCTCTGGAGGAGCGCCCTCACGCTCAAGGCCACCCAGCTGGCATTGGCTCCTGGACTCTGCAACCCTGACCACTCTCGGCCACACCCGGCTGCCTTCACCTCTCTCTGATCAGCCACGTGTTTGGGTGTTCACTGGGGGCCAGGCAGTGGGCCGAGCCTCTGCACACAGTGGGTGCTTTAATGCTGCTGACAGCCCTGGTGCTGCTGAACCACGGAGGCTCCGAGAGGTGAAGTTGCTGGGTTGGGGAGGGTGGGGAGGGGAGGGGAGGGGAGGGGAGAGCTGAGATTGGACACGAGGCCCCTGTCCTTTACACATCCACCCTTCCTTTGGACTCTGGGTTCTCCATCCCAGCCCTGTTTGGGAACCCAGCCCTATTCTGAGCTGAGCTCGTACCAGGGGAAGGTGCAGTGTTGGCCCCCGTGTTGGAGAGGAATTCCCTAACTCCCCACCACGCCTGCCTCCAGGCCCCAAGTGTGCTCCCTGCCCCGGCTCCTTACCCTGTGCCAGCCACATTCCCCAAGCTCCTTCCCAAGCTTCCTCAGGGGCTTTGCACTTGCTCTTCCCCGGCCTGAAATTTGCTCCCTACACGTTGGCTCACCTGTCCCTCATACAGCGTGGCTAACACAGCACCCATTCCCTGCCCTCCTTTCCCCTGTTCATTTTTCTTTGCTGCCACCTGACGTTGTGACCTGTGTACTGTCTGCCTCCCCCACTGGAATGTGAGCTTCCTGAAGGCAGGGGCTGTGTCTTAGTGACTCTCTGTCTCTGGAACCCAGGACAGAGTCTGGAGCTTAGGACATGCTCAGAAAAAGATTGGTGGCGTGAATAGATTCTGGAATTGTTTCTGAGGCTGTGTCCGGTCCTGGGCTGGGGATCTTTTGGGGAGACTTGGGTTCATTCATTGTGCATTCAACAGAGAGCCAGACACCGGGCTGGTGCGCTGAATTAGTGTTTAGAGGTGTGGGGAGAGTTGACCAGGAGGTGCATGCAGAGGACCCAGTCCAGCCTCTGAGGTCAGGAAGGCTTCCTGGAGGAGGCGTTGGTTCAGCTGAGACCTTAAGGAAGAGGGGGAACTCACAGAAGGTGTTGGGATGGAGGCCAGAGGGAGGACCTGAGTGCCAGAAGCCTGGCAGAGAGTGAGGGTCGGCGAGGAGGGTCGTGGCTGGTGTGGTAATCATTGTCACGGTCTTTAGCCTTTCTTGAGAGCTTTCTAGGTGCCTTTCTGCTTATGCCGGGCCTTCTTGTGGTGGAAAGGACCTTGTTCTGTGTTCTGAGCACACTGGGGAGCCATGGAAGGGTTTTGAACAGAGAGGGACAGGGTCAGATTTAGGATGGAGTACAGGGGTTGAGAGCACAGGCTGGGAACCCAGGGAGAAAGCCAGGGTGGGAGGGGAGGTGGGGAGGGGAGGCGGGGCAGGAGAGGATCAGGAAGCCGGTGGACAGGGCAGAGAGGACAACGGGCGGAGCAGGGGTGGGAAGCAGCAGAGGCCAGGGCCTGAGGGGCCTGGAATCCCAAGCTGAGGAGCCTGGCTCTTTCCCGAGGCCCCGGGGAAGCCACGGGTCAGATTTGAGGGTCCCTCTAGGTGCTGAGGGAGACAGATGGGAGGATGGGAGGCTGGGGAAGAGGTGGGGTGAGTCCTCGTGGGAGAGGACAGCGTTGGACCTGAGCCGCGTTGTAGGGAGGCTGGGGTGGAAACCCTGGTCCCATTGAGACTGAAGCACAGATTGGTGGATGTTTGGGAGCGAAGATCTGGCGGTCCTGGGTGTGTTCAGTCTGTGGGTGTGAGCCCCGGAGGTGCCAGCCATACCTGCTGGGGGACGGAGCCCCTGCTGGACCCTGTCTTTGCAGCTCAGAGTCCAGAACGTGATTTCTCCCCCGCTGTTTACTTCCCTGTCACTGTCCATCTTGTCTTCCTCCGGCTTCCTCCCACTTACCTCCCTTCCCTCAGCCTGGGGCCCGGGCAGCCTGCCACCGTCACATGCCAGGCAGCAGTGTGTCCAACCCACCAGCTCCCCTGGGGCACGAGAGAAAGCTGATGCCCACGGTGTCCCCAGAGCCAGCTGCCACTTCTCTGGGGGCCACCGTAGCTCCTGACCTGCTGTCCGCAAATAACCCCAGGCCAGGAAAGGCGAAAGGCGCCTTGAGCTCCATGGCCCCTGTCCAGGCCTGTGGCTCCAGGTAGGGGCCCAGCTGGTGGCTGCCTTCCCCCATTTCTCCCCTCTGCCCCGGGAACCTGAGACGAAGCAGCGGCCTCGGCGTCCGTCAGTCTGTTGGCTGCTGGTCCCTGAGGACGGAAGCAGAGGTCTCTGGGAGGGGACCAGGGCCTCGGTCAAGCCCCCAGGACTGGCTCCTGGGCCCCAGATAAGTGTACAAGCAGTAGGTTCCTTTCTTGTTGAAGATCCGGAGCACTGAGCCCTTCCTTTCCTCTGTCATCTGGTGGGGACAAGGGGACAAGGAGGGAACTGAGGCTGTGGGAGTGATATGAGGTGGCCTGGTGCCGGGGTGGGGTGGGGTACTCGGTTTGCTAAAGGTGGCAGGTTGGTGGCTCCTTGGTTTGGAAAGGAGAGAGTGAGTGAGTGAGAGCTAGCGAGAGAGGGAGTGTGTGCGTGTGCGTGTGTGTTTGGGGCTGGCAGGCAAGCACTGGTGGCTTTGAGCACTCCCTCAGGTGCCCAGGGCTGTCTGATTCAGCCCAGGTGACCTCAGCACTGGGGCATGGGAGTGACGCAGGGGGCGGAGCTGCAGCTCCTCGCCTGCCTCCCGCCCCACCCCGCCCCGCCAGGAGTGACGGTGGGTGGAGGGGCTGCCTCTGCTCAGCACGAGTGTCCTGAGTGTCCGGGCACAGGCCAGGGAGCTGTGCTCCTTCCAGAGTGGGCTCTGAGGGCAAGCTCGTGTCCTTTCCCCCAAAGACTGGGCTCCCTGGGGACATGGCCACCTCTTCCCTCTCAGCCTGGGCCCCAGGGCAGGTCTCGCCCCACCCGCCCTGGCTCCACCCTGTCAGAGCAGCCCGAGGGGCCTCAGAGGAGGGCTGTCCCGAGGGAAGGCGCTGAGGCCCAATCCCCCTCCCACTCTGACAGGCTCCTCTCTTGTCTTGCAGATTGTGCTCTGTCCACCGCACCTCCTGCATGTCCTGCTGCCCTGAGCTGTCCCGAGCTAGGTGACAGCCTGTCACGCTGCCACCATGAACGAGGTGTCTGTCGTCAAAGAAGGCTGGCTCCACAAGCGCGGTAAGGGGCTGCTTTTGCCCACGGGATTGCGTGTCTCCCCTTTCCGCCCTGGCTCTCCTGGCAGCTGTGCCCTGAGAGGCAGAGGTACAGGGTCTTTACCACCTGAGGAGCCAGCATTCCAAGCCCTGTCTGCCTACCTCCCTGCCCCTGGCCAGTAGCTCCTTACCAGCCCATTTCATGGGATCTTTGAAAGTAGTCTGGACAGAGGGACTGTGGCTGTGCCTGGACCTGAGCCTCCAGGCCTAGCTGGACCTCCTGCATGAGCCTCCAGGCCACGCCTCAAGTTCTGCCTCTGCATTAGTGATCCTGTTTGTAGCCCCATTTTATAAATGAAGAAACTGAGGCTCAGAGAGGGTCAGTCACTTAACTGAAGTAACACAGTGAGATGATATTCAGCATTTATTCATTCAGCAAATACTCACGAAGTGTGTGGTATGCCGGGCTGGCCACCCCAGGCTCCGAGGACACTGTGGTGCCCTCGTGGAGTTTGCAATCCATTGGGGCGGGGGGGACAAACAATAAACAGATAAACAGACATAATGTCAGGTGGTAAGTGCTGTTGTGAAAAATAGGAGCTGTGAGGGAGAACGGGCTGGAGAAAGATGGGGTTCAGTGGAAGCGGCTCTGAGGAGGGGACAGTGAACAGAGGCCTGGAGGAGGTGAGGGAGCGAGCCACACGGATAGACAGGCAAGGGTGTTGCAGGGAATGAGACAGCAAGGACAAAGGTGGGACTGTGTCTGGACCGGAGAGGTGACCAGTGTGGCTGGCGCAGAGCGAGCGAGGGCGAGCTGGAGGAGGTGGGCAGAGCGGTGATGCAGCATCAGACCGTCGGCCCTCGACTCCATGGAAAGGGCTTTAACTCTCCAGGCGTTCAGAAGCCCAGGATGTTGTGAGCCGGCGCATGACCCGGTCTGCTTGTGCTGGTGGGCAGCTGAGAAATGCAGTCATTTACAGGGAAGAGACTAAGAGACTAGACCCTTAGGCCCCAGGCCCCTGCCCCAGAACCAGCACACTTAACGCCCACGCTGCTGTGTGCAGGGGCAGCTAGGAAGAGGCACATGCTGAGAGTCAGCTTGTCCAGGCGCCCAGGAGCGAAGGAGGCAGACTGTCCTGGCTTCCGCAGACCTTCCCCTGTGGAGGGGGACGCCAGGCCTGGGGGTAGCCGCTCTGTGCGCTTTCATTCACTCAGCAGACATCTGTTGAGCAGCTCCTGTGTTCCAGGCACTGTTCTAGGTGCTGGAGACACAGCAGTGAACCAGATGAGCCAAAAGTCCCCATCCTTTTGTCGATGTCTTACATTGGGGGGGAGAGCCCATGGCACCTGAGTAGACAGGTGTGAGCAGGAGGAGGGGTGTGAGGGGGGCTGTCCCAAATGGGGTGGTCAGTGAGGACCTCACTGAGAAAGGGGGTTTGAATAAAGATCTGAAGGGACGCGGGGGAGTGAGCCCCACAGTTAACTGGGGCAAGGGTGAAGGGGGCAGCCCATGAGTCCACAGAGGGGAGTGGGCCAGGCATGTTTAAAGGGGGCGAGGAGGCTGGTGGGGCTGGCCCTGTAGAAACTGGGAGAGGTGCCCGCCCATCCTGCCCTGTCCCAGCCCGCAGACAGGGAGCAGTGATGAGGGACGGAGGTGGCTCCCCAGGCCAGGCCTCCGCCATCACACTGAGCGGGGGAGAATCCTTTCCTGCTGCCCTTTCCAGGCAGGGTGGTACTCAGGACACCTTGGCCTACCCACCCAGATTGGGCCCTGAGTTTGGGGCTGTTGATGGAGCTTTCTGAACCTCGGCAGGTGTCAACCCTGGCTCTGCCACTTCCTCTCAGTGTGACTGGGTAAGCTATGTCATCTCTCTGAACCTTGGTTTCACATCTGTGAAATGGGTCAACAACCCAGGCCTCTGAGATTGCCAGCTTCATGAGGGCAGGGATTTTATCTGGCTTGTTCACTGAGATGTCCCCAGTGCCCTAGAAAAGTGCTTGGCATGCAGTAGGCACTTGGTAACTGTTGAATGAACGTTTGGGATTGTGTGTGTGGATAGTGCGAGTGTGTTAGGGTGTGCCAGGGTCTCAGGCTCCTGAGTTTCCGTGGCCCGTGGCTCGCCAGGCTGGGTTGGCAGAGCCCTGAAGGTGGCCCGAGAACTGTGGCCGGGGCAGGGCTTTGTCTCTGGCATTAATGCTGATGGCATTAAGTGGATCTCAGCCCCTCCTAGACCTTCAGTGTCTCCACTTACCTGCATGGACCCAGACAAGCTGCTGAGATGACCACCTGCCTTGGGTTTGTACCATAGCTACACACATGCGTGCGTGTCACTCCTGGGTCTCTCCAGTGCCTGTCATTCTGAGCAGCAGCTGGCAGAGGTGGGTAAGGCAAAGTGGGCCCTGCAGCTGTTTGGACACCCCCGCTACCCCACCCCACCCCACCCCACCCCACCCCTGGTGGTTGAAATAACAGCAGCTCCGGCTTACTGTGTGCTCACTCTGCCGGACCTGGGGCTCTGCTCTAGGCAGACCCAGTTTTGTTGCATTTCCATTACTGCCCCGTCAGGTGGGCACCGTCTCGCAGACTAGGAAGCTGAAGCTCGGCAGGAAGACTGACTTGCCTGAGGTCTCAGCAAGGAGGTGGTGGTGCTGAGGTTCAGGCTCCAACTCCTGAGACAGCTCCTGGCTCACATGCTGCCTCTTGCTCAGCAAGGTCCACTCAAGCAATGGGTCCCTTATGCCATGTGCGGGTGTCCTTTCTGACACAGCCTCAGCATGCTCTCTCCCAGGCCCCACCAGGCCAGGCCCCGTCTGCCAGTTTAGAGGCAGACAGCGTAGTGGTCAAGAACGTGGACTCTGGACAGAGCAAACCTGGATTCCAATCCCAGCTCTCCCAGTCAACAGCTGTGAGCCTCAGGCAGGTGATGAAACCTCTTTGTGCCTCAGTTTCCTCACTTGTAAAGTGGGATTGTTGTGAGGATATTGTTCCTTCGAGGTTTCTTTTTTTTCTTAGCTTGTTATCGATATATAAAGCACCACAGATAAGTGCCTGGATTATAAGCTTACCCCCAAACCTGTGTCCGGGGCAGGAAATAGAGTCAGTCCGTCCCCAGAAGCCCCTGTGCCTCTCCCAAGCAGTAACCACTCTCCCAACCTCCAATAGAGTAGATGAATTTTTCTAGTTTTGTTTTTCTTTCTAAAATTGAGGTAAAATTTACATAACACGGAATTAACTGTTTTAAAGTGCACAATTCAGTGGCCTTTAGTACATTCACAGTGTTGTGTAACCACTACCCCTGTCTAGTTCCCAAACGTTTTCATCTGCCTCAAAGAAAGCCCTGTACTTGTTAAGTAGTCAGTTCTCATCCCCCCTCCTCCCAGCCCCTGGCAGCCACCAATTTGTTTTCCGTTTTTATGGATTTACTTATTTTGGACATTTCATATAAATGAATCATACAATATGTGGCCACAAAAGTCTGGTTTCTTTCACTTAGCATAACTTTTTTTAAAAATAAATTATTTTTGGCCGTATTGGGTCTTCGCTGCTGCTCACTGGCTTTCTCGATTTGCGGCGAGCGGGGGCTACTCTTCGTTGTGGTGCACGGGCTTCTCACTGCGATGGCTTCTCTTGTTGTGGAGCACGGGCTCTAGGCGCGCGGGCTTCAGTAGTTGCGGCACGTGAGCTCAGTAGTTGTGGCTCACGGGCTCTAGAGCGCAGGCTCAGTAGTTGTGGCGCACAGGCTTAGTTGCTCCGTGGCATGTGGGATCTTCCCGGACCAGGGCTCGAACCCGTGTCCCCTGCATTGGCAGGCAGATTCTCAACCACTGCGCCACCAGGGAAGCCCCTGGCATAATGTTTTTGAGGTTCATCCATTCTGTAGCACGTATCAGTACTTCATTCCTTTTTTTTTTTTCTTTTTAAATTTATTTATTTATTTTTGGCTGTGTTGGGTCTTTGTTGCTGCTCACGGGCTTTCTCTAGTTGCGGTGAGCGGGGGCTACTCTTTGTTGCAGTGCGCGGGATTCTCATTGCGGTGGCTTCTCTTGTTGGGGAGCACGGGCTCTAGGCACGCGGGCTTCAGTAGTTGTGGCATGAGGTCTCGGTAGTTGTGGCTCGCAGGCTCTAGAGCGCAGGCTCAGTAGTCGTGGCACATGGGCTTAGTTGCTCCATGGCATGTGGGATCTTCCTGGACCAGGGCTCGAACCCGTGTCCCCTGCATTGGCAGGCGGATTCTTAACCACTGCGCCACCAGGGAAGCCCCTTCTTTCCCTTCTATAGCCAAACAATATTCCATTGTATGAATATACCACATTTTCTTTATCCGTATGTCTATTGATGGACATCTAAGGTATTTCTGCCTTTTGGCTATTGTGAATAGTGCTGCTGTGAACATTTGTACACAAGGATTTGAGTACTTGTTTTCAATTTTGGGGGGGTATACACCTAGGAGTGGAATTGCTGGGACATATATATCTATTAGATTATATTATTTATAATCTATTGTATATAGTTAGATAATGTGGGTAAGAAATGTATAAAACCTGGGTCATACATTCTGTATGTGTAACGTACAGTATATTCTGTATTTAACTTTTTGAGGAAGTGCCAAGCTTCCACAGGGTTGCACCACTTTACATTCCCACCAGCAGTGCACAGGGTTTCCATTTCTCCACATCCTCACCCACACCTGTTCTTTTTCTTTTAGTTTTTTTGTTTTTGTTTTTGTTTAAATAAAAGCCATCCTGGTGGGTATTAAGTGGTATCTCGTTTTGATTTGCATTTCCCTAATGACTGATGATGTTGAGCATCTTTTTATGTGCTTGTTGGCCATTTGTATATCTTTGGTGAGATGTCTGTTTAAGTCCTTCACCCTTTTTTTTCTTTTAAGATTTGGGTAAATTATTTTTATGCCTATTCATATCTTGTTGTATTGATTATGTTATGTATGTATTTTAAGATTTTAACTCTTCAAAAGTGTCAATACTGATTTTTGGCATATAGTTCATAGTTTTATACAATCAAGTCTGTCAAGTTTTTTTGCTCTTTAATTTTTTTTTTAACATCTTTATTGGAGTATAACCGTTTTACAATGTTGTGTTAGTTTCTGCTGTAAAACAAAGTGAATCAGCTATATGTATACATATATCCCCTCCCTCTTGCACCTGCCTCCCACCCTCCCTATCCCACCCCTCTAGGTGAACACAAAGCACTGAGCTGATCTTCCTGTGCTATGCAGCTGCTTCCTACTAGCTATCTATTATATATTTCATAGTGTATATATGTCAATGCTACTCTCTCACTTCATCCCAGCTTACCCTTCCCCCCCCTTCACCCATTTTTTAATCAGACTGTGTTTTTGTTTCTTAGTTGTAAGAGTTCTTTATATATTCTGGATACTAGACTCTTATCAGGTATATGATTTGCAAATACTTTCACCCATTCTGTTTGGTTATCTTTTTATTTTCTTGATAACATCCTTTGCACAAAAGTTTTTTATTTCAGTGAGTCCACTTGATCTATTTTTAACTTTGTTGTCATATCTAAGAATCTGTTGCCAAGTCCAGTGTCAGGAAGATTTACCCCAGTGTATTTTTCTAAGAGTTTTATAGTTTTAGCTCTTATATTTAGGTAGATCCACTTTGAGTTAATTTTTTTATATGGTATATGGTATAGGGTTCCAACTCTGTTCTTTTGCATGTGGGTATCCAGTTGTCCCAGCATCATTTGTTGAAGAGACTGGTCTTCCCCCCTGGAATGGTCTTGGTATTGTTGTTGAAAATCAGTTGCCCATAAGCATGTAGGTTTATTTTTTGACTCTCAGTTCTACTCCATTGGTCTATATGTTTATCTTTATACCACACTGATTTGATTATTGTAGCTTTGTAGTAAGTTTTGAAATCAGGAAGTATGAGTTCTTTTACTTTGTTCTTCTTTTTTTTGTGTGTGATACGCGGGCCTCTCACTGTTGTAGCCTCTCCTGTTGCGGAGCACAGGCTCCGGACGCACAGGCTCAGTGGCCATGGCTCACGGGCCCAGCCGCTCCGCGGCACGCAGGATCCTCCCGGACTGGCGAATGAACCCGCGTCCCCTGCATTGGCAGGCGGACTCCCAACCACTGTGCCACCAGGGAAGCCCTGTTCTTCTTTTTCAACATTGCTTTGGCTGTTTGGAACCCCTTGCCACATGAATTTGAATTCCATGTAAATTTGAGGGTTGACTCTTCCTCAACAGCAAAAAAGGCTATTGGAATTTTGACAGGGAATGTGTTGAATCTGTAGATGGCTTTGGATAGTATTGTAATCTTAATATCAGGTCTTCCAATCCATGAACACAGGATCTTTGAATTTATTTAGGTCTTTAATTTCTTTCAGCAGTGTTTGTAGTTTTTAGTGTATAAATCTTTGCCTCCTTGTGCTGTTATAAATGGAATTGATTTCTTAATTTCCTTTTTGGATTATTCATTGCTGGTGTATAGAAACAATTTGTTTCTGTGTGTTGCTTTGGCTGAATTTGTTAGCTCTAGTAATTGTTTTGTGGATTATTTGTGATTTTCTGTATATAAGATCATGTTATCTGCAAATGAGATACTTTTACTTATTCCTTTTCAAGTTGGATACTTTTTATCTTTTTCTTTTTCTCTGGTTAGAACTTCCATTACAGTGTTTCATAGCAGTGGTGAAAGTGGACATCTTTGTCTCGTTCCTGATCTTAGGGGAAAGTTTTCATCCTTTCATCATTGAGTATGTTGTTAACTTGTGGGTTTTTCACAGATGTCCTTTATCCTGTGGAAGAAATTCCCTTCTCTTCCTAGCTTACTGAGTATTTTTATCATGAAAGACCGTTGGATTTTGTCAGATGCCTTTTCTGTGTCAATCTGGATGACCTTGTGTTTTTTACCCTTCACGATATATACTGCATTGATTGATTTTCATGTATTTGAACCACCCTGGCAGTCCTGGGATAAAACCCACTTGGTCATGGTATATAGTCCTTTTATTGTGCTGTTGAATTTGGGGTTTTGCTAGTTTCTGAACCTTACATACATGGAATCATTTAGTATCTACAGTTGAAAGAATTTAACAAGTTAAAACCTACAAGATACTTAGGACAGTGCTTGGCAGGCACAAAGTACCGCTGTATAGTACTGTCTGATCATTATCATTAATTAATGGATATCCTCATAAGAGGAAACAAAGACATAGAGAAGTGAGGTGACTTATTGGAGCGCACCCTGCCATGCTGCCTCTCCATGTGCTATGTGAGTGAAGGGCCTGGCACACTCTTTGCTTGCCCAGTGGACTGATGATAAAGAGTATTTATTGATTTATTGGTGTGCTGGGCCCTAGCTAGGCTGGGTGCTTTATGTTTGCTTTATATTTGAAATCTCATTTTTTTTTTTAGCAACTTGAGATATAATTTACATATCATACAATTCAGCCATTTAAAGTGTACAGTTCAGTGGCTTTTAGGGTATTTAGAGCTGTGCATCCATCACCCACAATCGATTTCAGAACATTCTCACTACCCTAAAAAGGACTCCCCCTTGGCCATCACCCTCCAATCTCCCCCCAGACTCGCCCCCTCCTCAGCCATAGGCAACCACTAATCAACTTTTCATATCTGTAAGTTTCCCTATTCTGGACATTTTATGTAAATGAAATCATATAATTTGTGATCCTTCGTGACAGGCTTCTTTCACTTAGCATAAGGTATGATTCATCAACCTTGTAGCATGTATTAATACTTCATTTCCTTTTTTTTTTTTTTTTCTTTTGGCCGCATTGCACGACATGAGGGATCTTAGTTCCCCAATCAGGGATCGAACCTGTGCTCCCTGCACTGGAAGTACAGAGTCCTAACCACTGGACCACCAGGGAATTCCCAATATTTCATTTTCTTATGACTAATATTAATATTCCATCATACGGATATGTCATGTTTTGTTTATCCATTCATTAGTTGATGAACTTTTGAGTTTCCACTCTTTGTTTTTTAAGATTTATTATTTATTTATTTATTTATTATCTTTGGCTGCATCAGGTCTTAGCTGCAACTGCAGCACACCGGATCTTCGTTGAGGCATGTGGGATCTTTTGTTGCAGCACATGGGCTCTTGCGATGCGGTGCTGGGCTTCTCTCTAGTTGTGGCGTGCGGGTTTTCTCTTCTCTAGTTGTGGTGCATGGGCTCCAGGGCGCGTGGGCTCTGTAGTTTGCGACACGCAGGCTCTCTAGTTGAGACGCTCGAGCTCAGTAGTTGTGGCATGTGGGCTTAGTTGCCCCGCGGCCTGTGGGATCTTAGTTCTCCAACCAGGGATCGAGCCCGCGTTCCCTGCATTATAAGGTGGATTCTTTACCACTGGACCACCAGGCAAGTCCCTCCACCCTTTACTATAATGAATAATGTTGCTGTGGACATTTATGTTTTTTGTGTGGATATATGTTTCACCATCTTATTTTAGTCCTTAGCAGCCCTCTGAGGAGTGGGTCCTTATAGTGTGCACCTGTGTGTGTGTGTGTACAGGGTGCCTGGATATTCATGGTTAGAAAAAATGGAAGGGGTCAAGGAGCATTTGGAGGGCACAGCAACAGTTATACCCCGCCTGGCACAGTGTTTTGACATTTGATCCACCTGCACAGCTGTACTGGTGAATACCCGCTCATGGGATTTGGCCTTACAGGGCCACAGGGCATGTGTGTTTGGAAGCCTGGGCCTCCCCTGGGACTGGGCCACGCGCTGGCAAGGATGGCTCACTGCTGGACACACACTGAGGCAGCTGGTGCCCTGAGGCGCTGCGGCAGGCGCCTTCCTGCCAGGCATGACCTCTGGATCACTGGGCCCAGCCCAGTGCCCAGCCTGCACTAGCAGGGGCCACCTCGAGGGTTTCTCCAGGAGAAGCACCCTCCTGCCCACCCTTTTGTCCATCCTCCTCCCAGTGTGGTGCCCCTTGTGAGGCACTGCCACCCTGGGCTGGCTGCCCTGACCTCTCTCCCTCCCGCCCTGCCTTCGTACAGGTGAATACATCAAGACCTGGCGGCCCCGGTACTTCCTGCTGAAGAGCGACGGCTCCTTCATTGGATATAAGGAGCGGCCCGAGGCCCCCGACCAGACCCTGCCCCCCTTAAACAACTTCTCTGTTGCAGGTGCGTCTCAGGGGCTCAGAGAACGGCTGGCAGGTGTTGGGGACACGTGGGGCTTGATCATTCTTGGGCTATGGGCCTGTCTGGGGCCTCTTTGCCCTCAGATCTATTTCGCACCCTTTCCCTGCTCCACCGCTGTGTTACTGGGCCTGGGGGGTGTATTGGTCAGCAGTGGAGAGCGGGAAGCAGAGAGAAGCTCGGGCATTTTCCGGCCTTCTGTCCCCTCTGTGGTACCCGAAGTGGTGCCTTCCTGCCAGACACTGACCAGTGAAAGCTTGGCCGGTGCAAAGCCCTTGCCTGGGCCTCACAGAACCTGCCCTCAGCCCGCTGCCACCTTCCTTCCCCGCTGACCTGATTGGTCACCACATCCTTGTCCCACTTCCTTAGAACATTTCAAAGATAGCTCCACTGCCACCTCGTAGCCCAGACCACTGTCCCCTCCCCACTAGCTCCCTGCTCTAGCCTCTTCCCCAGCCTCGCCTCTCGAGGCCACCCCACCTGGTCGCTCTGCAATCCAGCCCCCACGCCCCTCTCTGTCCTGCTTAAAGCCTTGTCCTGGTGGCTTTCCTGTGTGCTCGTGACCCCCACGTGGCTGTCCCCAGCCCTGGCTCCCCTCCTGAACTCTCCCCACCTGCGCCAAGGAGCTTCCTGCATGTGGAAACATGCCCTGGGATGCCCACCGTGGGATACCCAACGTGTCCCAAACTGGCCTTTGGGTCTCCTCTCCCTCCCCAACCTTCTGCTCCCCATCTCCTTCTCTGGGAGGGCCCTGTTGCCCCCTCATCCTCAGGCCAGAGGCCAGGGTGTCATCCCAGATGCCTCTCTGTACCTCCTCTGTGGCCCATCTACCTGTCTTTCCCTCCCCTCCCCTGCCACACTCCGGTGTAGCCCCAGCCTCCTGGGCTCCCGGCCTCCATTCTCTCTCACCCTCTGCACGGCAGCCAGAGGGATCCGTCTAAATCTGTTCATGTCCCTTCCCTATTTAAAGCCTTCCATGGCTGCCTGCTGCCCTCAAGACAAAGTCCAGATTCCTCGCCATGCCCCCTGAGCCCCGCAGGCTGGCCTCTGCTCACCTCTCCAGCCTGTCTCTCACTTCTCCCCGCCTCACACGGAATTTGCTCTTCCCTAAGTAAGCTGGGCCCTCTCTCACCTCTAGGCTTCTGTATACGACGCACCCTTCTGCCTTCAGAGCTCAGTGCAGAGATGCCCCTTCCTCAGGGAAAGCCTCCTGAGCCCCTGGGCTGGGTTGGCTGCCTCTTAGGCTCCCCACCCTGGTCACCGCCCTGACCACTGAGCCATCACTGGAAGGGCTGTCTCCCTTCCACATACGCACACTGGACCTTGAGCCCTGTGGGGCAAGGCCAGGGCTGTCTCGGTCACTAAAGTGTCATGGGGCTGGCACACAGGAGGTGACTTGGGGAATGTGGGGTGCAGACTGGCAGGGCTGTCCCTTTACCCTCCCTGCTCACATCCCTCTTCTGCAGAATGCCAGCTGATGAAGACCGAGAGACCGCGGCCCAACACCTTCGTCATACGCTGCCTGCAGTGGACCACAGTCATCGAGAGGACCTTCCATGTAGACTCTCCGGATGAGAGGCAAGTCTGGGCCTCTGTGTGGCGGCCCTTTGAGAGCGGCCAGGCTCTGTGTGAGGAGAAGGGGTGCAGATGGATAGATTGCCCTGAGCCCCTCCTTAGGAGTTTCCCATCTCAGCCCTTTTGCCAGCTAGGACGTGCAGGGCTTCTCAGCCCACAGACTCCCGTCCACACCGCCCCGTGTCCTCAGACTGGGGGCTGCATTGGAATCGTGGGGGGGCTTGTTAACAGTGAGGCGCTCTGGGCCACTTCGGGGCCTCTGATTGTCTAGAGATCTGCAGAGGGTCAGGGAGCTGCATTTTTAATGAGCATCTCCATTAATTTCGAGGCAGGTGGTCTAGAAACTCAGTTCTTTAAAAGATCAATTTAATAATCAGAAGAGATACAGATTCACCTAGTTAAGAAATCAAACAGCAGAAGGAGGTGTCTAGCGAAAGCTTCGCTCTCACTGCAGCCCCGTAACACCCCACCATCCCTGACCCGCAAGTTAACCGCTGTTCTTATGTATCCTGCAAGAGCTTCCTCACCGTGAACGCAGACAAGCTCACTCAGATAGGACTCCGGTGCCCTGCTCCCCTTGTTTTTTCTTTTTACACAAAAGGTGGCATTGTACCCAAACGGTTCTGAACTTGCTTTTTATTTAATGTATGTTGGGGACTCTCTCCACTTCAGTATATATAGAGTTGCTGCTGCTGCATTTTTTTTTTAACAGCTGCACGTCTGTGTCCCCGAGTTTGTTTAGCAGCTCTTTATTCATGGTGACTGGGGTTGCTTCAGCCTTTTGGGCTCATTAGAATAATGAGATAATTATAATTAGATAAGCAATAATTAGATAAGCAGTACCTTGTGCTTATCTTGTTCGACATACTTATAGTTAAATCTGTAAGATGAATTCTTAGATGTGGGATTGCTGGGTCACAGGGGAACATGCATTTGTAATTTTGAGAAATGCTGCTTTTAGGCCATGTCTAAGAGTGTCCTCACAGCCTTGTGTTTTCAAACGCTTGGATTTTTACCAAACGTTTGGTGAGTTTGAGTGTCCTTTCGTGTGTTCAGGGGCCATGTGAGTTTCCCTTTCTGAACTGTCTGTTCATATCCTTTGTCTGTTTTTCTTTTGGGTACTTGGTCTTTTGCTTATTCATTTCTGAAAGCTCTTTATAAGAGAGCTTAGATCTTTGTAATGAGTGGCAAATATTTTTCCCTCACTTTGTCCCTTTGGCTTCACTTTGAGAAATATTCCTTTAGCTTGTCTGTGGGGTGAGGATTCAGCTGATCCTCTGGAGAAACCTAAAACAGTGCCATCCAAGAGAAGTCTCTGCCATGATAGAAATGTTCAACAGCTGTGGTGTCCAAGAGGGTAGCCACTGCTCACATGTGCCTGTTGAGCATTCGAAATGTGAAATGTGGCTAATGAGACTGAAAATGGAATTTTGTATTTTATTTAATTATCTTAAATAGCCCCATATGGCTAGTGGACAGTGCATTTCTAGAGCATACACAGAACAGTATCATAAGACATATTACTGTAATCTATACTGTAATTGTCATTGCAAAGCTTCCCAAGATTAAAAATATACCTGCCCCACCATGGGGAACAGGGTGACCATCGCAGGCCAGCTGAGGTGTTACTCAGATGAAAACTGGGCACAGAAACATGGACTGCCAGTAAAAGCAAATTGAGACCGGTAGGTGCATAGGGTCTAGGTGTTGGGCTGAGTTTTGAGGAATGGGTAGGAGTTGGCCATGGAGATAGGAAGAAGAAGGTGGCTTCAGGAAAAGGGACCAGCATGTGAAAAGGCCTGGAGGCGAGGCAGCTTGTCATTCCAGGGACAAGAGGGTTAAGCATCACTGAAGAATCAAGGGCCAGGGGTCTTGGAAGAGGGGAAGTGGAGGCCTTGAAGCTGGCAAGCTCAGCTGGCGCCTGGACTCCAGATGGAGGTCCCCACAGGGCTTGGCAAGCAGTGAATCGATTGGGGTTTGTCACAGGGTTGCTAAAAGATTCAGGGGGATGATAAACAGGAAGCCCTTGACTCAGCAGTACCTGGCACACACTTCGCAAGCCTGAAGAAGGAGCAGTGGGGAGCTGGCAAAACGTTTTAGTAGGCGAGAGACCTGCTGTAGTTTCCATTATAGGAAGATACCATGCTCTTTGGCATGGGGAAGAATCCCTTTACTAAGACTGTGCGGGCTAGAGAGCCCCCAGCTTCCTCCTCCTCTTCGTACCTGCCACTGCCACTAGAAAGAAATCTGATAGGATTGCTCTGAGACCAAACCCCAGATTGCTGACCTTAACCCCAGGGAAGGTGTGAGCCAGAAACCCAGAAGAGGGAGGCTGCTCTGCTCGTGGCTGTCCTCACTGCCCTGCGCAGGCCTGAGCCTGGGGAGGGGTGGGGGCGGGGTGAGGACCGACAGGGGCCACGCTGGTGACCGGTGGCTGCCTGGATGCTGCAGCGGCCTGCTCGCTTCCTCCCCCAGTCGGCTCTCCCCAGGGCACCTAGAGCGATTCCCCTACTCCCTGCCCCAACTCGTTGTTTCAGGTGGACAGAACAGTTGAAAGAACAGTGTCGTAGATGAGCAGCTAGATACCCTGCACCTAGGTTCAGCAATTCAGCGTCTGCCACGTTTGCCTCATCTGGCTGTGGTGCTTTTTTTTTTTGCGGTACGCGGGCCTCTCACTGTTGTGGCCTCTCCCGTTGCGGAGCACAGGCTCCGGACGCGCAGGCTCAGCGGCCATGGCTCACGGGCGCAGCCGCTCCGCGGCATGTGGGATCTTCCTGGACCGGGGCACGAACCCGTGTCCCCTGCATCAGCAGGTGGACTCTCAACCACTGCGCCACCTAGGAAGCCCCCCTGGCTGTGTTTTATGCTGTATCTTGAACTTCTGTTCGTACTTTGTGACACCTTTCTCCTTAATACATCAGCAGGCATCTCCTAAGAGTAAGGACTTTCTTCTACAGAATCCTGGTGCCCTTATCATGCCTGAGATGATCATTGATAATATGTATTTACTAACATCCTCTCTAGATCTGTGCCGTAGTTGAATTTCCCCAGTTGTCCTCAAAATGTTGTTTTTCAGACCAAGATTTGAAAAACCAAGGTACATGTTGTCTCTGGCCTATTTTAATCTAGTTCAGCCTTTGTCTTTCTTCCCCGACCATGACATTAATTTTTTTTTTTTGACAAGCCAGACTAGTTGTCTTGTAGGATGTCGCATACTCTGGATGTGTCTTATTTTTGCTTTTTGGCACTGTTTTCTTTGTTCCTCCGTGCCTGTATTTCCTGTAAACCAGAAATAAGGTCTGAAGCAAGGTTGGCAAACTATTGCCTGGCCTCCTTTTTTTTTTTTTTTTTTTTTAAATTAATTTATTTTTGGCTGCATTGGGTCTTTGTTGCTGCGCGCGGGCTTCCTCCACTTGTGGTGAGTGGGGGCTACTCTTCGTTGCGGTGTGCTGGCTTCTCATTGCTGTGGCTTCTCTTGTTGTGGAGCATGGGCTCTAGGCGCACGGGCTTCAGTAGTTGTGGCACGTGGGCTCAGGAGTTGTGGCTCGCAGGCTTTAGAGCGCAGGCTCAGTAGTTGTGGCACACGGGCTTAGTTGCTCCACAGCATGTGGGATCTTCCCAGACCAGGGCTCGAACCCGTGTCCCCTGCATTGGCAGGCAGATTCTTAACCACTGTGCCACCAGGGAAGTCCCTAGCCTCCTATTTTTATAAATAAAGTTTTATTGGAACATAACACACCCGTTTATTTACCAATTGTCTATGACTGCTTTTGCTGTCCTGTGGCAGAATTGAGTAGTGACCAAGCTGTGACAGGGACTGTGTGATCTGCAAGGCCTAAAATATTTATTATTTGGCCCTTTCCAGGAGAAGTCTGCAGACCCTTGGTCTTGGCAGGTACGCTTAATAGTGCATCACTTTAGTGTGATCTTTTTAATGTAAATCTTATATTGTAATTTCTCTGTTTAGGACTCTTAGTGGCTTTTAGTTCCACTTGGAGTAAACTCCAAAGTTGATGCTCTACTCTACAAAGTCCTACGTGATCTGGACTCCTCTCCAGAATCATTTCCTACCACCAATTCCCTCAACTTCAGCCACCCTGGTCTCCATGGTGTTGCTGAAACATGCCAAGCACACTTCCTACCTCAGGACCTTCGCACTTGCTGTTTCCTTTGCTTAGAATCCTCTTTCCCCAGATATCATTACAGTTCTCTTTCTAACTTTGTGAGGTCTCTGCTCAAATGCCACCTTCTCAGAGTGTCCTGCTCTGCCTTCCATGACTGTTACCTTTACCCTGCTTTATTTTTCTTCATAGCACCTACCCTACCTGGTGTGACATTTTCTTTTTTTCTTCTTGTTTTTTCGGCCATGCAGTACAGCTTGCGGGATCCTAGTTCCCCAACCAGGGATCGAGCCCGTGCCCTGCAGGGGCCTGCAGTAGAAGCGCGGAGTCCTAACCACTGGACCACCAGGGAATTCCTGACATTTCCTATTTATTTATTTGTGCCGGGAATATAACTAGGTGTTCAGTAAATGTTGAATGAATAAAAGAATAATTAGAACGAATGCTCTGTTGAGCCAGACCTTACTCTAAGGTCTTTACATGTATTAACTCATTTATCCTCACAACATTTCTAGGAGGGAGTTCCTCACCTGCTGAAGAGGCATAATGATGGTGAAGCTGAGGCACAGAGAGTTACAGAGTAAAAGAAAGAAGATCTGAAGGGCCTGGGTTTTCCCTACCAGGCAGGGCTGGACCTGGGTCAGCCGGGTCAGCCAAGTCAGCCCATCTGAGAGTGTCTGAACAGAGGGAGACCCCAGATGCCCTCCAGCTGTGAACACCCCTCTGGTTCAGAGGAGGGCCCTTGTTAGGGAGAGAGGTCCCCATCTGCCATTAGACCAGCAGTCAACTGTTACTTCTGAGGCTGTGACGAGGACAGGCCTGTGCACTAAGGACAGCTCGGCCACCTCCAGTTCACCGAGCTTCCCTCCAGGGTGCAGTTTGTTCTGCTCAGCAGGGTAGCCCAGGGCTGGGGCCCAGGGTCTGGAGTCAGACCAGCCACCGTGCCACTTTCGCAGTGGGGCTCAGTTCCCTGGCTGTCGTGAGGGACGAAGAGGACATGGACGTGGATGCGCCTGGCCTGGGCGCCCCATGGAATCGCACTTGTTGGTGCCTTTTTTCTCCTTCGTCTCCTGTGCCACTGGCTCCTTTTGCCTCGGTACTACCATAGCCCCTCTTGCTTCCTGTCTCGACTCCCAGTCCGTACCCCACACAGCAGCTGCCTACTTAAAGCCGGAATCAGACCCTGTCACCCCCCGATAAACCCTTCCAGGACTTCCTGTGACGTTAAGGATCAAGACAGAAATCCCTCACACAGTGGCTCGTGGAGTCGGGTGTGGCCTGTCCTCCCTCCTGCCCTCATCCCTTCCATTCCTCTCTCTCTGTTGGCTCCACCCATGCTGGCACCTGCTGTGCCTTCCACAGACACCCCAGGCTCCCTCCTCGGGCCCTTGGCCACGCTGGTCACTCTGCCTGTATTCTTTTCCCTCTTGGCACTTCGAAGGCCTGCCTCCTTCCCTCCGTTTCATTTATTTCACAGCTAAGTCCCTGTTCTTGGCACTGGGGATGTCCCACGTTCCAGGGGTGTCTTCCAGATCCCGGCTTACGTGCCACCTCCTCAGAGCGGCCTTCCCTGACCACCCTCTGAGAAGGGGCTTCCTCTCCAGCCCCTGCCTTTGAGCCATGACATACTTGTCTTCTCCCTTAGGCCTGGAGCTCCAGTGGGGCTTGTTCCCTGCTGCACCCTCAGCACCCAGAACGAGGCCTGGCACGTGGAAGACACTCGGGAGGGATTTGCAGGCTGGCTGGGTGAATTCTCTGTGCCTGGCACTGTCCTGAGCGCTTTGTATCGTGTGCGCCCTCACACGACCCTCTGGTCCCCGCTCCACGTGTCAGCCCACTGAGGCCCCGGAAGGTCAAGTGGCCTGCCCGGTGTTGCCTCCGGGAAGGGGCAGGACTCCCGACAGGCGGCTTTTCCTTCGCCCGCTTCTGGGCTCCTCGGCACGGTGGCCCTTATTCCCTGAGCCTTCCCGCGAGTTTGCCCTGCTTGCTCCTCCGGGGCCTGGTGGGCCTGGTCTGGGAGGAAGCTGCAGCTCATCAGGGCGGGCAGCGTGGTGCCGGGGCCGGGGGGAGCCCAGGCATGGGGCTCAACTCCGCTGCTTCCTAGCCTCGTGACCTCTCCGCAGGTGACTCCATCTCCAAGCGCCTCAATTTTCTCATCAGAAGCACGGCCCCTCCCCCTCCAGCCCTCTTGAGGAGCATGGAATGCGGTGGTGTGCGTTATTTTTCTCTGCGTGTCCCTCGGGGCAGGAGGCTCTTTCCCCTGGGGGCTCTCCTTTGAGGGTTGGAAGGCACGTCAGCCCTGGCCCTGGGTAGGAGCTCCCCTCTGCCCCAGACACCATGTTGCAAACCCTTGGGGAGTATCCTGGACGGAGGCCCTTGCTTTTTCTCTGCAATTCTGAGTGCTGCAACCTTGCCACCTCGGTCCAGTTGGAACAGGATCGGGGGCTTGTCGGGCAGTGGGAGAGTTACCCCCGACCAGCCTCCTGCATCTCCGTGGGTTCTGGCTCCAGATGGGTTGGGTCCAGGTCTCACCAGTGTCTTTAGCCCCATCCTTGAGTCAAGCACTTTCTCTGGGTGCAGGCTTTGCACACAGCAGCTCACTAGCGTCTCAGTGCCCCCCAGTGTACCAAGGAGGGGGCGAGCTGGGAGGCCTGGGCTTGCCCAGGTGGCAGAGTTGCTGTTTGAGCCCCAGCTCTGAGCACCAGCTCTGCTGCCCAGAGAGGCCCCACAGAGCTGCCTACCGTGCTCCCTCCTGTGGTGTGGAAGCTCCAATCTCTCGTTCGTTCAGGCTCCTGTTGATGGACTGCGTTCTCCCTTACAAAGATGATAGCACACTACATATCTTGGTCTGCAAGTTGCTTTTTTTATGTGACAGTCCCTCGAGATCTGTATATGTGAGGTATATATGTATTTTTTTCCTTTTAGTATATTCAGCACGTCTTAGGAGATCGGTGATTTTTTTTTTTTTTCAGTCCACAGTCATATACCCAAAGTCAACATTTTAAAATTTCTAAGAGGACAGTTATGATCGGATAAAGCCTATCACGGGATATGTTCCCCCTACCCCTATTTTTTTGAAAAACAGGAATATTAATGTAGGGATAGGGATTTGTACTGTTATTTGTTCCAAAGAGGGCATGGGTAAAACGCGTTGAGAAATGCCAACCTGAGGCAGTGGGTCAAGGAGGGAAGAGGCTCGCGCTGCTCTGCCTGGGTGTGCGCTGGGCTTGGGGCCACTCGGGGTTTGGGTTGCCAGTCACTCCCCAGATGCTTACCGAGTACCTGCCGGGGTGCTGGCTCACGCCATGTATGAACAGACCAAATCCCCGGCCTCTGCTCGGGCTGGGGGAGGCTGGTGTGCCAGCGCCTGATGTCTGCGCTCATGGTACACATGCGTCTGTCTTAGGAGACGCGGTCTCATGTGAGGCCACTGGGACGGGCAGAGCTTCTAGGTGTGAGCTGGGGCCCGTCGGCCGGGTGGCTGCTTTGCTCAGCGAGGCACGGAGCTCAGCCAGAACGGTTCACGTGGCTTTTATAGACCTAAGCAAAATCCATGGGGGGTTCAACAGATACTGGGCTCAGCCACCTAAAATTGTGTGGTGGGTCCCAAATGATGGAGAGGTGTGGACAATTTAGTATCGTTCAGCTTCATATTTTTTTCTTTTTGGTGTGTGGTCTTTTTTACTTTTTTCTCCTAGATGCATTTTCCCTCTCTACAGAAAGAACTTTTGCAAGTATCAAAAGAAAATTATTTCCCAGCAAGTTCTAAATCATGAGTGACAGAACTAGTGTATTGTTCTTAAACCCGTCTGCCTTCTGCTGGGACCTGCTTCGTGTCCGCCACCTTCTCTCCCCGGTCCCTGCCCCACCAGGATGGTCCCTGACCATCCTCCCAGCAGACAGGCACCTCCAGGGAGTCATGTCGGTCACCTCTTGCTTTGTAGGATCTGCAGCTTTTTTGGCTAATGAATGCCTCTTTCTGCTCTTGATTCTCTTTTGCAGAACACTGGTCACTTGCACACGTGAGCTTGTCATTCGTTCTGAGGGGCTCAGAGGAGCACTGTCTCTCATTCAGGGTTCAGGGTGGCGGCTTATTTTTAGGGGGCTGTGAAGAAAGGCAATCTCCCCTCTAGTCATGTAATTACTTCCTGACTTCAAGTGGCCCTCAGGTCAGGCCCCTTCTGGGACTCAGATGGTCTCTGTCCTTATTCTGCTATTGCCCTCTCCCACCCACCACAGCCAGAGGGTCTGTCAAATTTCAGTCTGGTCCCTCCAGCTCCACTAGGTCAGACACATCTCAACAAAATGCCCGAAGGTGTTTGACCATTTGCTCGTCCATCGTGGGGCATATGGGGCTCGGCCTTTCCTGCCCCGAGGCACAGGCGCCCCAGGACTCTTAGCTCCCTGGATGTGTCCCCACACAGGGAGGAGTGGATGCAGGCCATCCAAATGGTTGCCAACAGCCTCAAGCAGCGGGGCCCAGGTGAGGACCCCATGGACTACAAGTGTGGCTCCCCCAGCGACTCTTCTGCAGCCGAGGAGATGGAAGTGGCAGTTAGCAAGGCGCGGGCCAAGGTGGTAAGTGCTGGGAAGGCAGGTGGCCAGCGGTTGGGGCCTGCCAGTCTGTGAGCACCCCTTTCCCTCTCAACCCTGGCCCTGCCGCCCTTGATTTCCATACCGAGAGCACGGGCCTTGCCAGGACACTTCATGACTGCCCTGTAGACTGGGTGATTTCAGGTTGTAGATGCCCCGGTACTGCTCTCGGCCCACAGGGTGAGGGGCAGCCTTATCCCGGGGGGTTGTGAAGACCCGTCTACCCCCACGTCAGAACCCTAGGCTCAGCCTCCCAGGGCCCCCGTCCCTGGGAGAGCCGAATGGCGGGAGAGCCTTGGTCTGAAGGCCACTTCAGAACAAACAGTTGCTGCCCGGAGCCTCCCTTCCTGCTCCTGCCTGAGCATTTTGGCAACAGTGTCCTTTGATTTTTCTCTTTTCTTTGTTAAAATTTCTTCCCATGGGCCACGTGCCAAACACTGACTGTCCGACTCTCTCCCCATCCCGGGCAGACCATGAATGACTTCGACTATCTCAAGCTCCTGGGCAAGGGCACCTTTGGCAAAGTCATCCTGGTGCGGGAGAAGGCCAGTGGCCGCTACTACGCCATGAAGATCTTGCGGAAGGAGGTTATCATCGCTAAGGTGGGCCCTCCCAGGGCTGCTGAGGGCTGGCCGCTGTGGGGGACACAGTTCGGAGCCTGACGGCGGTCAGGAGCACGCACTGGGCGGGCCGCTTCCCGGGTCTGCTGCTGTGTCCCCCAACCCGTGAGTCCCCAGAGAAGGGGAGCCTGAGGCCCAGAGAGTGGGGCCCTGCCTGCTGAGTCCCCCACCCTCTGGGCACCAGGAAGGAAGGTGGGGGGAGCGTGACTGGGGTCTCACCCAGCAGGTGCTGTCAGGCCTGAAGGAAGCCTCTGTGGCGGCAGAGGGCCTGTGGGGAGGCCACAAGGGTGGGGCCTGGCTCAGGGTGTCTCAGGAGGAGGCTGGGCCAGGAATGGAGTTCTGTTCCTTTTTTTCCTTATTTAAAGTTTTTAAAATAGGAAATTCCTAATGTACATAACATTTTTTAAAGAAAAATAAATATAATGGACTCGGATTTAGCAGTCATCAGCGTCAACATTAACCAACGTTTGGCTAGTCTTGTTTCATTACCTCTGCCCTGCTCGTTTGTTGTTCTGCAGTACTCTAAGGCATGTCCTAGACGTCACAGATCTTCGGCCACGCCTACTTAGATGTGTATTTTTGACAGTTGGTGATTTTACAGACTGTAATCACGGTACTGTGATCATATCCAACAGAATTAACAACCCCTGGCGTCATCGGCCCACGGCAGGGTCTCTCAGCCTCAGCACTGACACTGGACCAGACCATTCTCTGCTGTGGGGCAGTCTTGTGCATGTGGGACATGTAGCAGCACCCCTGGCCTCTACCAGGGCACCCCTCCACCCCCGAGTTGTGACAGTCAAAAATGTTCTTTGACATTACTACCGATGTTATTACATTACCCCCTGGAGACAGACTTGCCCCTTGGAGAGCCAGTGTCTGGGCACTGCAGCTCTCTGGGCACTGCAGCTCTCTGGGCTATTGCCGTGCACTCAGATACCAAACTCAAGCCCATGTTAGAGTCCTGGGAGGAGAGGGCCTGTGACGCTGTGCTGGGCCCGCACCCTAAGCTTCTGAGTCACGGGTCTGAGGAGGGGCCCAATAATTTGCATTTTTCCAAGTTCCCAGGCGGCGCTGATGCCAGTGTGGGGACCACACGTGGAGAACCACGGCTCACAGCCTAGCGCCCTGCTTAGATCCAGGTCCTTCAAGAACACTTATAGGTGGTGATTCCCGTGGCCTGTGGCATCACCTTGGGGGTCTCAAAATGTCTGCTCGCCCCCCCCCCCCCAGGATGTCAGAATTGGCCCGTGGGTTCAGGTGGTGACAGCCTGATCCTCCCTTGTGAAGTCACCGTCAGCTTCTCGCCTTATGGTTTTGAGAGCGAGCCACGGAGTGTGCTTGCCTGGGTGTGCTATTTCATCAGGGCTCGTGAATGGTAGCATTCTGCTCCTGCCATTCTGTCTGTGTATTGACTAGGAATGGAATTGGATATCACCAAGATGTTGCTCTCCCATCTCTCAAGTTGGGCGGGGGTGGGGGGGGGTGGCTGACGTGGTGGGACCCTCCAGCCCCTCACCCAGCCTCTGTCTGCAGGATGAAGTCGCCCACACGGTCACCGAGAGCCGGGTCCTCCAGAACACCAGGCACCCGTTCCTCACTGTGAGTAGCACTCTTGTCCCAGGCAGGGCCTCGCCTGCCTGTGGGGCCTCCAGGCCGGCCCCCTAGGACAGAGCTCAGGGGAAGAGCCTGACCCCTGCCACTATGAAGAACAAACTTGGTGTTGGCCAGATGGCTGGGGCACGGTGTTGTGGGCTCTCCGGGCAGCCTGAACCAAGACACCAGGGGTGGCAGCTTCTTCGTAGATGGTGCCTTCGGCCGATTGATGATACCAGGTTATAAGATGGCCCCAGGAGAGCATGGCTGCCATCTTTATGGGTTAGAGGCACTTTGTCCGGCTGGTCGGAGTGGGAACGTTATTTTTTTTATGTTTTAAGAGGTAATCCTAGGAGCAGATGTATTATTATTGTGCTGCCTATCAACTTAGGCTGAGCAGACAAGACACCTCTTTGGCTACAGTCTCCATCAAGGCCAGCAGCCATCAGTTGAATGGACCAGGTTGAAGATGGCTTACGGGTTGTTTCTCTAGCTCACTTGTTGGCCAGGTGTCCTGCTGAGCCAAAGCACTTGTTCAAATGAAATCTTACCAGGTTCTTCAGCGTAGAAGACAGGGAGCAGTAGAGTTGTTGTGAGCAGGGGGTCACCTAAGGGTTCTCTTAGGAACTCTCTGTAGGGCTCCTTAGATCGCAGTTTGAGAACTACTTGTTTGTTGGCAGATCGCTTGTCCAGCCTGTTTTGGGGGTTGGCTCCCACTGCCAACTCCCAGCCAGCAAACGTCGTGTGTGTGGATGTGGATGTGTGTGTAGGTTTACCCATTTGACTGTAGCATGGGAGGAGGAGAGATGTGAAACAGCTCTGGTTGCTCAGAACATAGTTTCTCCCCTGGCTGTGCCTCTTGGAGGCCTAGTTGAAGGCAGAATACAGGATCGTTGAGCACAGTAACCCTTTCCCTGCTGTCAGGGCATGAGCTCACTCATACGCCACAAAAGGTGAAGCTGAGATCTGAAACCTGGCCGCCTGATCCCCACGGCCTGAGCCAGGCGGGGGGTGTGTGTGCAGAATCAGCAGCGCCCCTGCCTCCCAGGGCCGAGCGGAGAGCCCTGCTTTCCCCACCTCCTAGCCCGGCCGCCTTCCTTCCCCACAGGCGCTGAAGTACGCCTTCCAGACCCACGACCGCCTGTGCTTCGTGATGGAGTACGCCAACGGTGGCGAGGTGAGCTGCGGCTGCCCCCTGGCTGCCTTTCCGGGTGTGGGGGGCAGAGGGAGACTTGCTGGGTGTCATCTTGTTCCATCCGCCCCCCTCCCCTCGAGGCAGGCATCACCATTTCTGTCGTGCAGGAGGGAAAACAGGCTCAGAGCAGTTAAGTGACTTGTCCAAGTTCCCACAGCTAGTGAGTTGGTAGGCAGGATGCAAACTGAGGTCCAGAAAGCTGTGCAGAGGGCTGTGTGGGTGGTTGGCCAACAGCGCTACAAGGACGTTCTTAAGGGCGCGGAGAAAGCGTCTGCGGGTCAGGATCCCCCGTTCCTCTGCTGTCAGTGCGGCCTCCTGATGAGAGCGCTCAGCCACTTGCTGTTGCTCACCGTCACCCACTCCTCGCCCCTCACACCCTTCTCTCCACGCAGGTGTCACTCACTGGCTTCATCTCTCCCATTTGGTCTCACAGCTTGTCACTTGCTCCTGAGTCGTGGTCCTCTGCTTGCTGGCTGTCGCTCCTCGTTCGCCTGCCCCCTCCTGCCACCCCCCTCACTCTCCACTCAGCGCCTGGTGTCTATCCTTTGCTCTTTATCCCTTGCTCTTTTTTTCTTTCTCTTTTCTTTTCTTTTTTTTGGCTCACGTGAGTTCTTCTCTACTCACCGCCCCTCACTTGGGCTTTCTTGCCGTCACTTGCCGGTTCGTGGGGCAGGTGTCACCTCATCAGTGGGCTGGGTGCCGGGGCCGCACACGGTCCCCTCCTCCCCTCCTCTGGACCGGGGTCTCACCTCCCCTGCCTCCTCTGCTGGCAGCTGTTCTTCCACCTGTCCCGGGAACGCGTCTTCACGGAGGAGCGGGCCCGCTTTTATGGTGCGGAGATCGTCTCAGCCCTGGAGTACCTGCACTCGCGGGACGTGGTGTACCGTGACATCAAGGTGAGCGTGCCGTCGCCTCCTGGCTGGGCAGGCCGTGCACAGGCCTTCTGCCCGTCTGCTGAGCTTCCCCTTCCATGGAGGGTCTGTCTGTCTTGTCCTTCTCGGAGCTGAGCCTCCCACCCAGGCCCAAGGTGGGTGGTTCCACAGCAGGTGGCCCTGCGTGGGGCCCTTCCAGGCTTCCTGCTGTGCAGCCAGAGGGTGTCAGTTGGCCCAAGCGCTTTAGGAGATGGCCCGGCTGAGCCCACCAACGCCAGACACACGTGTCCCCTGTGAGACAGTCATTCTGCCCTAGGAGCATGTGCGGGAACAGGTGCCTGTGTCTATCTCAATGTGGACGCACAAGCTCCTAGCGGCACTGCGTACACTGACCCCAAACTGGAAGCAACCCAAGTGTCCGTTGTCGGAAAGTGGGTAAAAGACATGAAGGTGTATCCACACAGTGGAACTCTGCACAGCAGTTCAAGAGGACAAACTACAGCCACACACGATAGCCTGGGCCGGTCTCACGGGCTAAGGCTGAGGGGAAAGCCAGGACAGATGAGGCGAATCTGCATCGTTTACAGTGTGTATATATAGGTGGAAAAAATGTTAAAAAGCAGAGAAGTAAAGTTCTTTCTGTGTTGGAGGAGGTGGTGGCTAATAACAGGGAAGGGGCACGTGGGGCTCCTAAGGGGCAGGTGGTGGTCTTTATTGACCTGGCGGAGGTTACACAGAGGCCCACTAAAGTGCCCATTTGTGTTAAGTTTAGGAAAAAAGAGGAGAAAGAAAGTGTTCCTTACGTCCAAAGTGTGACAGCCGCAGCCCGCAGTCGGGGAAGCAGTTTGGGCAGGACCTGGCTCCTGTCTCTCCCTGCCCCGCTTTTTACCAGCTCCCTGGGGGCAGGGGGCGCTGGGGAGGTGTCGGGTCTGGCCTTTCCCTGAGCCTCGGAGGGCCTAACCCTCTGCTGGGGTGTGACCTCTGGTCCCCCCTGGAGCCCCTGGCACAGCTGCCACTACCCCAGGCTACAGCCTCCTCCAGGGAAGGGCAGGGGTGTGTGGGGTTTCAGGGGTGGCAGGAAACCCTGAGGTACGTTGTGTCCCTGACTCACTGGCTTTTCCTACAGCTGGAAAACCTCATGCTGGACAAAGATGGCCACATCAAGATCACTGACTTCGGCCTGTGCAAAGAGGGCGTCAGTGATGGGGCCACCATGAAAACCTTCTGTGGGACCCCTGAATACCTGGCGCCCGAGGTGTCTGGGGCTGGAGGGCCCAGGGGCGTGTGAGGCCAAGGGAGGAGGGGGCCCTCAGCCCTGCGTGTTTCCCCCGCCCAGACCCTCTGAGGGCAGGGCTCCAATTCCTTAGGTGGCCCTCCCAGCCCCGGGCAGGGCCGTGCCCCCTCGGGCCCCTCTCAGCGCCTTGGCCCCGGGGGATGTGGGCCTGGCCCCTCATCGCCCCCCCTTGCTCAGGTGCTGGAGGACAACGACTACGGCCGGGCGGTGGACTGGTGGGGGCTGGGCGTGGTCATGTACGAGATGATGTGCGGCCGCCTGCCCTTCTACAACCAGGACCACGAGCGCCTCTTCGAGCTCATCCTCATGGAGGAGATCCGCTTCCCGCGCACGCTCAGCCCTGAGGCCAAGTCCCTGCTTGCTGGGCTGCTTAAGAAGGACCCCAAGCAGAGGTGAGGGCTGGCGTCTGCCCTGCCCAGCCCAGTGTCACCTGCTGCCACTTCCCTCGGCCTGGAGGGGGCAGCGCCCACAGGTGCAGTCGCCCGTGGGGTGCTTGGTGTGTGTTGATCGTCCCCACAGCTGGCACTTAGGGAGCACTCCCTTGGCTAGGCCTGTGCTTAGCCCTCTGGCCTCCCTGCCTTGTTTCATGGCGACACTGAGGAACAGGGTGGCCCTGTACCCAGCCTAGGGTGGCAGAGCCAGGATGTGAAGCGGCCGTCTGCCAAGCCCACCCTCTCAGCTCGCAGGATGTGACCCTGGGCACAGGAGCTCCCTCCTCTGTGAGGTGGTGGTCTGTGGCGGGACAGAATCATTAAAGGTTGTTCAGGGCCTGCACCGAAAGCCCGTCTCCCAGGCCCCGGCTGCCCCGGGAGGCGGGTGCTGATGGCCGTCTCTGCCCAGGCTCGGCGGGGGGCCCAGTGATGCCACGGAGGTCATGGAGCACAGGTTCTTCCTCAGTATCAACTGGCAGGACGTGGTGCAGAAGAAGGTGAGCCCACTGCCTGCCTGCTCCCCGCGGGAGCCCGGCCGCTCCTGGGTGACCTTGGCTGAGGCCTCCACTTCTCAGGGACCTGAGCCTGGACTCGTCTCCTCCACAGCTCCTGCCACCCTTCAAACCTCAGGTCACATCTGAGGTTGACACAAGGTACTTTGACGACGAGTTCACCGCCCAGTCCATCACAATCACACCCCCGGACCGCTGTGAGTGTCTGAGGCCCCCTCTCCCCGTGGGCCTGGCTGGGCGGTGGAGGGGTGGGGTCTGCTCTTGGCCCAGTTCTCCAGGAGGAAGCTCACAGGTCCCCCTCCGTGTCTGGGCATTTTACCCTGCAGTATGTTCGCCAGGGCTTTCGCCGTTGGCCCACCGGTGGACCTGGTGAGGGTCACCAGGAGCCATTGGCCGCAGCACTCGGGGGAGAGGTCCGGGCAGGAGACACTTGAGGAGTCATCAGTGCCCATAGTTGTTTCCCAAGTTGCTCAGGTCTTTGGGGCTGGATGGGTTCAGTGATTCTGTAGCTGTTTGAGTTCTTACTCTCACCTGCCCGGTGCTGGAGACACAGCCGTGACGAGACAGCCCTGGGTCCTGCCCTCAGGGAGCTCAGAGTCCACGTGGGGTGACAGCCCAGAGTGATCAGGCCTGTGGTATTAGAAGTACAGGGTCTGGAGAAGCGCAGAGGAAATGCCTGACTTGGCCTGTGAGTCAGGGAGGGCTTCCTGGAGAAGGAGACTTGCTCTTGGCAGAAGGAGTGGCATACGGGACTCCCAGAAATGGGAGCATTGCAGAGGTCAGAATAGATGGGGGATGGGCGAGGGCATCAGGACCAGAGCAGGAGGATATTGGGGGCCACTGGAGGAGTACGGATGTGTTGCACGGGGAGCCATGGAAGGGTCTTGGGCAGAGGAGGGAAGGGTTGCATCAGGGCTTTAGCAAGTACCCCCGCCTCGGCTGCATGTGGAGGGGAGGATTGCTGGGGGTAGGAGTGGCGCCCAGGTCAGGGGCTGGGCCACAGAAGTCTGGGCTGCACCCCGGCGTGGCCCGGGGCAGAGGAGCTGGGGGGAGCTCGGGAGACTGAGTGAGCAGGCTGTGGGGCCTGTGGGCCAGGGCTCTGGCCCGGGGTGGAGCTGCGGCTGAGAGGAAGCCCCTGAGCCTCGGTCCGGTGGTCCCCGTTCTCGTTCTTGGGGACAGCGCGCCAGCTGGGGGTTGCACTGTGGTCTGGCTGCAGCCCTTCCTGGGGCTGGGTGGGGTGCCCGGGCCCCCTGCAGACCGCTTCTCCCCAATCCACCTCCACCGACCCCCGCAGATGACAGCCTGGGCTTACTCGAACTGGACCAGCGGACCCACTTCCCCCAGTTCTCCTATTCGGCCAGCATCCGGGAGTGAGCCGAGTGAGCTGCCCGCCGCCGCTGCCACTGCCACAGGACGCACGCGCGGCTGCCGTCACCACCGGGGGGGGGGGGGCTTTTTTTTTTAAACTTTTTATTTTGCCTTCTTTGTTTGTGTCCCCATCCCTCACCTTCTGACCCCCATTTCCAGTTTTTTCTTCAGCCCTCTGCCAAACTCACCTCAGTGGTCCTAGTGGCCCTGCCTACAGGATCCTATCCTGCCCTCACCTTTGTGCCCAGACCAGGATTTGGGAGACTCTCCACTGCCTGCCCCAGGACCAGGCCTTTGGGCAGTTGGAGAGATGCCGGTTTTTAATCAACATAAAGCCCCAGTGAGGGGCGAAGCATGGAGCCGTGGGGCCCACCTGAATTTCTGGCTGGGGTGCCCATGGGCAGCCCTGCCTCTGGGTTGCTGCTTCTGTCAGAGGCTGCCTTGTGGTGGGCCACCCGGTGGACAGCGCCCTGGTGCTGCCTTCCCTGCCCTGTCGTTAGGCGCGGAGTGGCCTGGCGTGGGGCAATCCAGCCTCCTTCTCCCATGGGGGCGGAAAAGCAATAATGTCCAGGGATCAGAGGTGCGGGAGTAGGCGAGGGCCTTTGGAAGCCGCATGCAGGATTGGGGGTTCAGGACTCCCTCGTGGGGAGGGGGCCTGCTCTACCCTGTGGGGAACCGGGAGGGGGCCCAGGGGATGGGCGCTGCCTCCTGGCCCTGTCTTCCCCCATCCCCTAAGCTGCTCTTCTGACCCTGGGGATGAGGCAGGAGGAGCACCTGGGGGCTGGCTTCCCCACCCACCAGCCCCGTTCCTTACCTCCTGCTGGAGCCCGGGCCTGGCCCCGCCCCTTCTGAGGATGGGGGCCGGGATCTCCCCCTTCTCTCTGCCTGGGGCGGAGGGGCGCCAGCCTCGGCTGTTACACATCTCGCACCGAGACAGTATTGGGCCCGGTGGACTTGGGTCGAAGAGTGGGTGGGGCTGGGTGTCTGGTACGAACCGAGGTAGGGGCCTCTGAGAAGGGAGGCTCCAGGCCACCTCACTCCTCCCCCCTCTCCGGGCCCCGCGTTCTGCAGCCTTAAGGTGAACGTGTCAGTGCTGTGGGCACTCAACGTGCGTGCCTCAGGCTGTGTGTGTCTGTGGGCGTGCCTGTGCATCTGGGATGCAGATGCACGTGGGGTGTGTGTGTGTGTGTGCATGTGTGTTGGGTATGTGTGTGCGAGGGCAAGCGAGTCCCGGCCTCGAGTGCGCGTGGTGTGTGTGGGCTCGGGCCCCGCCCCTGGCTCAAGCATTTCAACCCGAGGGGGAGGGGTGCTAGCTTAGCAGGGGAGCCACACCTGAGGTCCACTTGTTGCCCTGTCCCCCCTGCCCCGTTCCCCCCAGCATCTCTGGGGTTTGGGATTTAGTTTCTGTGGTTTTGATCACCTCAGCCCACCTTCTGTAGGTAGGTCACAGAGAGACATTCTGGGGTGGGGTGGGGGGTTGGTTTGGGTGGGTGGGTTCTGACTTTTCCTGTCTGTGTGTGTATGTCCTTAACCTGACAGTTCTCCCTCCTCCCACCGGCCTGTCCGCATCCCTCGTGTTTGTACGGTACAAGCAATAAAGACACTCATTTCAGCCTGGGGCCCAACCCCCGGGCCTTTCCTTGCTTCCGGAGTCTGGCCCCGGGCATCAGCTGCCTCGGCTCCTGTCCTTCTGGCCCCAGGGCCTGGGAGCCACGAGGAGGGGGGAAGGTGTGCGCAAGCTCAGGGTGGAGGGTGGGGGCCGCTAAGCGGAAGCTGCCCAAGAGTTTGGGGAAGGCGCCTGGGCGGGGGGTACAGTGGACAGAGACCATTGCAGTCCCTCGGAAGCTGCTTGGGAAAAAAGAGGTGGGGTGGAGAGATGGGGGTGGAAGGGGTGCGTGGTGTCGCTGGGCCCTGGAGTGGGTGTGGGAGGGAGAGGACTCATTTCCTGTGGCCCTTGAGCCCTGGAAGGGGGCACTGCCTGCTCACCCCATCTTACCTATGGCCCCCAATTCTGATACACAACCCTTGGTGGATCAATGGGATGTGTGGTGGCGGTCGGCTGGGAGCACCTCAGGTTGGGTTACAGCCTTCACAGCTCTGGGACCGACCCGTCTGGCACCTGTCCCTTTAGTCCTGGAGTCACCATGCTTGAGTCACTCCTCTCAGACCCCAGGGCCAGGGCTGCCCCTGCGGAGCCCCGGCACAGGTGAATTTAACGTCAGATTTTGCCGGAAGGTGTAAGGCCTTCACATACACGGAGGCTTTGAGATTGTAAATGGGGGTAGAGGAAAAGTCAGATGCTACAACCAGGACTCAAGGAATTTTTTTTGTTTTCTAACTTCATATGGACTTTATTATGAATTGAGTTACAAAAGTATGTCCTGGTGGTCATATGATAAACGTCAGAGAGGCTTATAAAGAAAAGCCTTTTAAAAGCAACTATACTCCAATAAAAATTAATTGAAAAGAAAAGCCTTTTACTCTTCCCTCTTGTCCAGCCCCTGGAGGTGACCGGTGCTAGATTTTCTTGTCACACCACACTGTCACTCAGACCTCCGTGTGGGTCCACCCCCGTATCTACCTCAGCCAGCTAGTGGTTGTCTTAACAGTCCGCGGAGACCTCCCACGGGTTCCTCAGCTGCTGCCCTCAGTTGAATGTATATCTGTAGATGTAGTGGTGCTTCTTTTTTCGGTAGGAGAACTTTTCCCAAATAGGGAGTTTTAGAGGGGAGTGTTTTAATAAATTTTACCGATTAGGAAAATTAAATTTTGACTAGATCTGTCTTTTCTCATGTGCATTTAGACAGTTTCACAAGTTTTGTGAAAGGAGGAGGAGACTCAAAACCGCCCCCAGGCCTTGAGTGAGTCATTCTGGTCCTCATGTTACCCCTGTGCCAGTGGACACAGTGCCGTGAAAGGCTGTCCCTCTGTCTGCATAACTCTTTCCTCCCAGCTGAGGTCATCAAGCTGCTGGGCTCTATACTGCTGCATCTTACCCCTCCCCCCACCTCCTGCCAGCATATGTATGTACATCAGTAGGCTTGCTGGGTCATTGGTAGAAATGAGATCCTCCTCTCTGAGCCACTTTTCTGCATTTGGGGGACTCCTCGTGGACACTTGTCATGCCTCCAGCCGCTTCACGAGCTTTCTCTGCTTTCTCGGGTTGGATGTGCCTCAACTGATTCAGCTGCCCCCTGTCGACAAGAATTTACTTGGCTTCCAGTTTGTTTGCTGCCACCAGCAGTGCTGTAATAAACCTTTGACAGTGTAACAATCCATCTTACCGTGCTTGTGCTTTTTAAGTTTTTGTGGCCTACATTCTAGAGTTGCTGTATTTTAATACATGCCAGATAGCTTTCCCCAAAAGTGTAGCGATTCACATATTTTTAACTTTAATTTTGAGATAATTGCAGACTCGTTGAAAACTTTGAAACTTTAAAAATAGTACCACAGTGATTCTAGGACTGGAGCAGAAAATGTACAAGATGAACCCGAACATCTTGTGCCCGAAAATAAGGACCTACTAGAACCAAACCATACCCTCACTGACGGGGCGTTGAAGGGACACAGGAGCCAATGGGAAAGAGCCCCCAGTGGCCACAGCTGAAAGCAATTTGAGCGACAATAAATAGCATAGTATTGGGTTATACCCAAGGGGTAAAATAAATGAGTCTGTGCTGATATAAATGACAAATGGTGAGAACAGACATATCTGTACAGAATTCCAGATAATACCTGTAAATAGTCTGCCTTCAAAGAGGGGAAACGTGGCCCCCACTCCTTTGGTATGGACTGCAAGGTGACTTGCCTCCAAAGAGTACAGTATGGAAAGGGGGGAAGGCAACTGTTTAGTGGAGAAAGTGGAGCTGCATCAGGCAGGTGGTCAAGGTCAATGTCAAGTGGTGAATCATGTCGGCAATGTGTACCTCCTATAGGAGGCGATTAGATGATACTTTACCTCTGGGGTCTTCCTGAAACATACACTCTCAGTGTAATAAAGAGAAAACACGCATCAGGAAAATTCCAGCTGAGGGATGTTCTGCGCAAGACCCGACCACTGGTTCTCAGAACTGTCAAGGTTGTTCAAAACAAGGAGAACCTGAGAAGCTGTCACAGCCAAGAGAAGCCTTAGGAAGCATGAAGACTAAATGTAATGTGGTGTCCTGAATGGGGTCCTGGGACAGAGAAGACATTAGGTGAAAAGTCAGGAGATGTGAATAGTGCGTGGACTTGAATAATACTATGTCCCTATTGGTTCATTAAATTGTGACAAGACCACACTAAAATGTTAATAGGGGAAACTGGGTCTGGGTATATGGGGACTCTGTCCTCTCTTTGCAACTTTCCATAAATCTCCAAAATTAATTTTTAAAAAGTACGAAAAATTTTCATCTACCCTTCACGCAGGTTCTCCGTGATATGCTACACTGACTTTATCCCCCCGCCCCGATATTTATGCATCTGTCCCAAAACAAGACCATTCTCTTACATAATCACGGTCCAGTTATCAAGGTCAGGAAATTAACATTGATACAATGCTTTTCTCTTGGACCTTGATCAGATTTTACTGATAGTCACATTAATGTCCCCAAATACAAAAGAAAAGTCCTGGCTAATGACTCAGTCCAGGCTCACACGTTGCATTCAGTTGTCTGGTTTGAAGCTTACAGGGCAGTTATTTTGCAGAATGCTCCTCAGAGTTTGTTGCCTGATGTTTCCTTGTGGTTATATGTAAGCTGTTTTTGAAAGGAATTCCCCCAAATGAGATGCCCCTCTCAGTGCATCCGTCAGGAGGCACATGAGGTGATCTGTCCTATTCCTGGTGATGACTTTGATTCCTTGGTTAAGGTGGCGTCTGTCAGATTTCTCCTCTGTAAAGTTACTACTTTCCCTTTGTAGTTATTTCGTACAGGCATATCTCATTTTATTGTGTTTTGCTTTATTGCACTTGTCAGATACGGCATGTTTTACAAATTGAAGGTTTGTGGCAACCCTATATTGTCAGATGATGGTTAGCGTGTTTTTTGTTTTTCTTTTGTTGTTTTGTGTGTGTGTGATTTTTTTTCAATAAAGCATTTTAAAATGAAGGTATGCACATTGTTTCTTTAGACATAATACAATTGCACACTTAATAGACTACAGTATAGTGTACACAACTTGTATGTGCACTGGGAAACCAAAATGTGACTCACTTTATTGTGATATTTGCTTTACTGGGGTGGTCTGGAACCAAACCTGCACTGTCTCTGAGGTCTGCCTGTACTGTGTAGAGATACTGTGAGCATATAAATATCCAGGTTCTCATCAGGGGTTCAGGCAAAGGGAACAGCAAGTGCAAAGGTCCTGAGGCAGGCAGGTGTCTGATGTGTTTGGGGAACATAAAGAAGACAGGGTATGTCAGAAAGACTGAGGAATGGGGAGAGTAGAAGGAAATGAGTTTAGAGAGGTAACAATGTGCCCAAAGGACCTTGTGCTGAAGGTAAGGAGTTTGTTTTATTTTAAGTATGACAGAAGGCCAGTGGTCCGGGATCTCACACTCTTCTCTCTGCTCACTTTTCCAGCCTCGCTGACCTCTCAATGCCTGAAAATAGCAAGCTCTCCTACCTCAGGGCCTTTGCTCCTGCTGTTCACTCCGCCTGGGATATTCTCCCCTCGCTTTGTGTTTCTGGCTCCTCCTCTTACAGGTTTCAGTTTCAACATCACCTCCTCAAAGAGGCCCTTCCAGATCATTTAAAAATTACATCCAGGGCTTCCCTGGTGGCGCAGTGGTTGAGAGTCCGCCTGCCGATGCAGGGGACACGGGTTCGTGCCCCGGTCCGGGAAGATCCCACATGCCGCAGAGCGGCTGGGCCCGTGAGCCGTGGCCGCTGAGCCTGCGCGTCCGGAGCCTGTGCTCCGCAACAGGAGAGGCCACAACAGTGAGAGGCCCGCGTACCGCAAATAATAATAATAATAATAAATTTAAAAAAATAAAAATTACATCCAGCCTGTTCATTCATTCATTCAACAAACGTTTGAGTACCGACTATGTGCTAAGCCCTGTTCTAGGCACTGAGAATACAGCAATGAAAAACAAACAAACAAACTAGATAAGCCCTGCCCTCATGGGGTTCACATTCTAGTCAGGAGGGAGACAATAAATAAAGCAGTAAGTGCTAAGAAGAGAATAAGTGCATCGAAAGAATGGGAACAGGAAATGCTTAGGATGGCACTTTTTATGGAGAAGGTAACATCTGAGTAAACACTTTACAGGAAATGAAGGATCTCTGGCAGAAGAGGTTCCACGCAGAGGGAATAGCCAGTGCAAAGGCCCTGAGGTACGACTGTGCCTGGTGTGGGTGAGGATGAGCCAGGAGGCCAGTGTGGTGGGAGAGGAATGAGTGAGGGGGATAGGAGATGAGCTCAAAGGTGTGTTTGGGATGGGAAGCTAATATAGGGCCACTTGGACTTTCAACTTGAGGGATATGGGAGCCACATGTTCTGAAGAGAGGCAGAGTGTGATCTGACTTATTAGGTGTCACAGGGTCATTTCCAACTGCATGTGGGGAGCAGGCTATAGAGGATGGGTACAGGGAGAGCAGTAAAGAGGCCGCTGCACTAGTCCAGACCGATCGCCGGTGACTTGTGCCGGTCACCTCCACAGTAGGCTGTGGGCTTGGTAAAGGCAGCGACCACAGGTGGTTTGCTCATCCCTTAATACCCACTACAGGGGACAGAGGCCCTCTATTAATATTTGTTATGTGATTTTATAGCTCCCATGCCTTGAGCTTTAACTGTATTAATCCCTGTGCTGGACACTTAAACCATCTTACAAATTCCTCAGGATAACTCTGTCGGCTAAGTTTTCAAATCCTTACTTTATAGCTCAGGAGGGTGAGGCTCAGAGGGCCTGCGTCAGTCATATAGTAAGTAGCAGGAAGAGGATTTGATCCAGCTGTCTGACCTAGAAGGTTTGGAGGGTGCAGAGCCAGCCCGCGTAGCATTCGCCATTGCCTGTGCGCCTGCCCAGGTGAGGCGTGCTCAGCGCGCATGCGCCCAGGCGCATTTAAAGCGCCCACCGCGGGTCCTCAGCTCCAGCGGGAAGAGGCGGGAGTTCGGCTTGGCCCTTGACTCCAGCCTGAAGGATGCTGGTGAGATACAGGAGCCAGGTTCCCACCTCCTGGCTTGGGCCTTTCTCCAGGCCCTGACCCCACCCCCTCTCCCTTGCAGAGTCCAACTGCCCACCTCGATCCCGAGCCTCGGAGCACCCCAGTCCCCGACGGCGTCCCCGCGGGCAGGAGGGCCTCCCCAGGATGCCCGGAGAGGACCCCCGGGCCATGCGCGCCGCCGGGGCTGGAGGAGGCTCTGAGCGCGCTGGGGCTGGAGGGAGAACGTGAGTACGCCGGGGATATCTTCGCCGAAGTCATGGTGAGTGGGACCGGGGCGGGACACTCGTGGACCAGCGGGCTTTGGGCAACTCTGGCGCCGCCCACATCCCTGGAGGGCAGCAGAGGCTGTCGGGTTAGAGGAAGCCAAAGCTGACTCGCTCGCCCAACGCCCACTCAGCAAGCATTCCCTAACTCCCACCTCGCCAGCCTCTCACCTCGCTTCCCACCCGACTTTGCAGCTTTTACACCACTGCCACCCACAACTTGGCTTTTCTCTCGCACTGTTACCTGTGTGGTTTCCACTGCCGGGAATGCCCTTTCCCATCTTCCCCAGGCTGTCTGCAGCCCCTCCTTTGGTATTGCATAACCTCTCGTACTTGTCCCTCACATTTACTCACTTACCAACTATTTAGCGAGTTATAACAAATGTTTCTGAGCATGTTCTAGGCACTGGGGATGCTGCGATGGACAACATGAGGTAGTCTGTCCTCACTGTGGGGAGACAAACAAATGCGGGTGATAATTTCAGAAGGGCCACAAAAACCAAACACAGGCCACGGTGGTCCACAGTTAACTGTCTGAGACAGGCACTGCCAGAAGAAATACTGAAGGGATGTGTTTATTTAACAAACATCTTGTGAGCATCTCTCCTGGGTCAGGGTCTCTGTTAGGAACCAAGACACAGCTGTGATCTGAACAGAAATCCCTGCCCTCGTGGTGCCAGCAGTCTAGTGGGGCAAAAAGACAAAACATTCAAGGAAACACAGGGTATCTCTAGACTGAAATACTATGAAGAAAATAAAGCAATGAGATAGAGATGATGGGGTGCAAGGAAAAGTATAGAAAAAGTCAGGGAAATTTTAGCTGAGACTGGAATGACCGAGAAGTCAGCAATGCAAGGAGTGGGGAATGACCATTTCAGCTGGAGGGAATGGCCGGTACATAAGTGCAAAGGTCCTGATTTAGGAATGAGCTTGGCATAGTCTAGGGTCAAAAGAACGCTGGAGTAGGAGTGTGGGTTGTGAGGGGAGAGAGGGAAGAGGTGATGTTGGAGCAGGGCCTGAGAGAGTCTGAGAGCAATTGGGATTTTTCTCCTAAGGGTACTGAAAGCCAAGGAAGGGTTTTAAGCAGGGGAGTTCCTTAGTCAGATTTATGCTTTAGAAAGACCCTCTGGGTGCTCTGAGGAGGATGGGTTGAGGCTTGGTGGCTAAGATTGGAGTCTGGGAACCCGGGAGGAGATGCTCAGGAAGTCCTGTGGCCATGGGGGATAGACTGGAGAGATGGAAAGTGAGGCGTCCAGGGTTCTAGATGGGGACACGGAAGAGCGTATTCGGAGGGGATGTCGGAGGCCAGTTTGTGTGTGGCACTCGGGACATCCAACTGGTGCGAGGAGATTGCTGCACCCAGGGCTGGAGCCCGGGAGAGAAGCCGAGGCACAGGTGAGGAGAGTGAGGCCGTTCCTGCCCGACCCCAGGTGTGCCGCGCGCTGCCCCGGAGGGCCCTGCCCCGCACCGTGACCCCGGAGATGCGCGCGCTAGTGGTGGACTGGCTAGTGCAGGTTCACGTACGTAATGCGGAGGGAGAAAGGGCTGGGCCTGCGTAGCATCCTAGAACCGTGGTGATTACCTGCGCCTCTCCCCAGGAGTACCTGGGCCTGGCGGGGGACACGCTCTACCTGGCCGTGCACCTGCTCGATTCCTACCTAGGCGCGGGCCGAGTGCGCCTACACCGCCTGCAGCTGCTGGGCGTGGCCTGCCTGTTCGTGGCGTGCAAAATGGAAGAGTGCGTGCTTCCAGAGGTACTCCCGGGGCGGGGCTTGGGAGGGTGGAGCCCTTCCTCGCCGCATCACAGATTAAATGCCTACTGTGTGCCAAGCGAGCACTTTACCTACTCTTGGAATCCCAGCATGTCTGCCTGTGGTAGAGGCTACCAGTGTGTCCCTTTAACAGAGGAAGAGACTGAGGCCCAGAGAGAGGAAGACATTTGCCCAAAGGCAAGCATTTGGGACTTGAACTCAGTCTTGAATAGTTAGAGTAGTTATAGTCCTTCTTTTTTTTTTTTTTTTTTTTTGCGGTACGCGGGCCTCTCACTGATGTGGTCTCTCCCGTTGCGGAGCACAGGCTCCGGACGCGCAGGCTCAACAGCCATGGCTCACGGGCCCAGCCGCTCCGCGGCATGTGGGATCCTCCCTGACCGGGCACGAAGCCGTGTCCCCCGCATCGGCAGGCGGACTCTCAACCACTGCGCCACCAGGGAAGCCCCTATAGTCCTTCTTGAGTAGTTATAGTTAACATGCATAAACTCAGTGCCGTATCAGAACTGCCTGGTGAAGTAGGGAGTAACATCTCCGTTTTATGGATGAAGAAACTGAATCTCAGAGAGCTTCAGTGGATGTCCATGTCACACAGAGAGTAAATGGTAAGGTTTGAGCTCGGGAACCAAGTCTATCTGACTCTGAAGCCTCTGCTTCCCACGATTTCCAGACAACAAATCAATGGCCCCATTTTACAGACCAGGAAACTGAGGTCCAGCACAGGGACTGAACCGATCCCAGGAGCTCAAGGGCAGGGAGTAACGAGCCGGGGTTCAAGATTCCTCCACCTCTTTCCCCCCAATTCCCAGCCCACCTCCCTCTGCCTCCTGGGCGATGGCTCCTTCTCGCGGGCCGAGCTTCTGTGCGCGGAGCGCCGCATCCTGAGCCGCTTGGATTTCCGGCTGCACCACCCGGGCCCGCTACTTTGCCTCGGGCTGCTTGCTGCGCTGGCCAGGAGCGGCCCCCAGGTGCGCGGGGCAGGGGCGTGACCTGCGCGGCTAGGGGCGTGGCCTTCATGGGAAGGGGCGTGACTTGATTGCTCCCCGCCACAACGGCAGGTGTTGCTACTTGCCACTTACTTCCTGGAGCTGTCTCTGCTGGAGGCCGAGGCAGCAGGATGGGAGCCGGGTCGCCGTGCCGCTGCAGCACTGAGCCTGGCACACCGGGTGCTCCACGGGGCGGGTTCCGGGCCCGAGCCGGCGCTTTACAGGTATGGCCGCGGCGGAGGTTCTCTGTGGCTTCAGGGCCTACCTTCTTGGTCGCCGTCTTTCCCGTCTCAGAGAATGTGAGACAATTAGGTGTGTGTGCGGGGGGCTGGGGGCTGGGGTGGGGCTAAACTTGTTTGCTGGGTGCGAGAGAGAATGGGGTGTCTGCCTCGTCTGGGGGGTCCCATTTGCTTTTCCCTGGGGGTGTCTGAGAGACTGGGGTGTTTGTTCAGATGTGGGGGCCCTTAACCTTGCCCCAGGGTGAAAAATAGGATCTCCTCAGGCCCAGAAGATGCTCTAACTGCGTTCCAGGGTTGAGAACGAGAGGTCTGCCAGCCTCGAGTCCCTTAGCTCCCTTCCTGGCCACGAATTGGTGTCCCTTTAGCTTCTGGAGTCCCTCATCTCCTTGTTAACCACGCCACCGCGGGGCAGGGTGAATCATCTTTTCCTCCAGCCCGTGCCCTAGGGTAGAGCTGGATGTCTGTCTGCCCATCCTCAGCCCCAGTCCTTCCCTCTCCGCGGGTCCTGGCTCTCCCATAGCCGCGCTCTGAGGGAAAAATAGGGGGTCTGCCCCTCGTCAGCGCCCTCCAGTCACTCTAGATGATGGACAGCGTGTCCGACCTCGAGAGAACTCCTGAGAAGTCCTCGGGGACCCAAGTCAGCTTGTCTTCTCAGCCTCGAGCCCCAAGCTCCGAGGACAGGTCTTCTCCTATTCCCCGCTACCCCTGCCTCATCTCTGTTTCTCCGTCTCTCCGCCGCAGCCGGGCGGAGCTGGGCCCGGTCGAGCCGTGCATGGTCCGCGCCGCGCTCCGAGGCCCTGCGCCCGGCCTCGCCGCCATCTTCCTCAAGTACGCGCGGCCCCAACGCCAGGGCACCAGCCTCGTCGCCGCCCGCCTGCTCCGCCACCCCCCGGCCGGGCCTCCCTGAGCCCCGAGACCCCAGCAAAAAAAGGCTCTCTTTGTGCGTCTGTCTCCCACTTCAATAAAAGAGTTTTTTATTCCGAGCGCTCTCTATCCTCAGTGGTCGAATTCTGGCCCCTCTGTCGCTTTTGATTGGTCACTTCCCGGGCTTCCCACCCATCTGATTGGATGTTCTCACCAAGTCCCTTAATGGCTGCTGGGAGACGCGATGAGAATTCTGGACTCCGCCGCCAGGGGGCAGTGGCGGGCTTCCGCAAGCACCGCTGAGCGGGACAAAACGGGGATCCCTAACGCAAACGCTTGCGGGAGTTAGGGATGCTGAGAGGAAAATCGCAATGCAAGCGAAGGAAACTCGGTCTTCGGGTTGGGGAGAAGCTAGGAGCAATGGCGACTGTGAGAAGCTGAGAATGCCTGTCCTAGTCATGAGGAATGCTAGCTACCTTGATGTTGCCAGATTTTCAGATTTTGTTCACGAAGGAAGCTGAAAATCTGTGATTCCATAAATATCTCTGCTCTTCTAATGCTGGCAACTAATTCAATATTTTTAACGGTTGCACAAATCTAACACATTACATATACTGGCCTGTGAGGGTCATCAGTTTGTGATAGTATGGGCCTTTGGTGGCAAGAGTTTGTTAAATGGGATCTGATTTACTTAACCTCTGAAGTGCCACAGTGTCGGTAGGTATAATATAATACCGACCTCTTGGTGGTGTGATGAGGACGTGAGTTAACATAAACCTAAAGCTTTAAGACCGTGTCTGACACTTAGTAGGTGTTGCGAATGTGCTAGCATTGCATCCTAGCAGGATTGTGAGGTACAGTTGTCCCCTGTTTCTACCGAGCCCCTAGCACCTAGCCATTTGGTAGGTGTTCAGAAAATAATTGTTATGAATCAGTGGGTTTCCAAGTTTTTAATTAAAACAAAAACATGCCCGAGGTGCAGAAAGGTGACCAATGCTGTTCTGGAATCCAATCTCAGGAATATTAGACTCTTAACCAAGCCTGGGTTTGGAGGTGCAGAGAGGAGGAAGTTTTCACCACTGAGGTGTTCAAGTTTGGAGGATTGGGGATCAGGGAGAGACTCAGCAAAGTACAATAAAATATAGAAGCAGATACTGCAGTTGGGATGAAAGGTGTCATGTTCAGGTTTGGGCCTGTTGGGTGGGAACTGCCATGGGACCTCCGGGGGAAGAATGTGCAGTGGGAGGGGGAAGGGACAGTGGAAATGCAGGCTTGGTGCTTGGGAATGAGACTCCAGCTAGGGTCTTGGGTGTGTGTGTGTGGTGGGGGTAATGGTGCTAATACATAGTTACTCATTTATTCAACAACTATATGTGGATGCCGACTCAGAGTCAGGCACTTACGACCACATATCTCAGTCTCATGGACGATAAGAAACACTGGCTGTTATTTGCCCATTACTGTACCAGGCCCTGTGCTTTACGTGCATAATATAATTCAGTTCCTACAGCTACTCTGAAGTAAGCTCACTTGTTACCTCCCTGTTACACAGAAGGAAGGTGGAGGAAGACCAAGGAGCTTGGCCAAGGTCCCACCACTGAGTAAGCAGCTAAGGAGTGTTGAAGGACAGTCATTCACCCTCAGTTTTTCTCTCGAAAGCCTCTCATGTATTTCTTTCTCTACACTCTTTTATTATTGTGTGCCTCACTCTGGGCTGTCACTTGACTGCTTTCCCACTGGTTTTCCTACCCAGACAGCGAGCTCGATAAGGGCAAGAAGCAGATCTCTCTTGTTCATCGAGTTCTCCCCTCTTCCAGGAAGTCTTCACTCACCACCTCAGCCTATGCTGGGTACCTCCTCTGGGCCGTCAGAGCCTGTTGTGCTTCCTGCGTCCCAGCCCCGACCCCCCTGCCTGTACTTCCCAGGCTAGCCCTCTCTGGGCTGCCACTGTCTGGTCATTGGTCTGTCTCCCCCACTTCCCTAGGGACCCAGTGAGGGTAGAATCTGAGGCTATCTCAGTCCCTGCTATGTCCCAGCATCACCCAGCCCCAGAGTTGGGCACAGAAAGATATCAGTGAATATTTGTTTGTTGCATAGATAAATGAATGGGTTCCAAAGTTGCTATCATAGTCCCATGTTACTGATGAGGATACAGAGTTCCAGGTAATTCAGGTGATTTATCTAAGTCATACAACTAGTGAGAAAATAAGCAGGTATTTGAATCTGGGCAGCTTGCATCCATAGCCTGTGTTCTTATCCAATATGCCAAATGCCTAGCGGTCTGAAAACCAGCCTTCCACGAGGTTGTTATCTTCCTGCTCTTTCTCCCAGACTTGTTCTTTCCTTCTAGAAAGGTTTAGGAGCTTTGGGCATGGGAGAGGAGAGCAAGCAGGAGGATTGGGAGGGTAAGGGGAGTGCGAAGAAGGGATTTGAAGGAGACAGTGGGGAGGTCTTGAGGGGTTTCTCTAGACCCATAGGGGGCAGCCGGAGTCGGCTACCGGAGGTGCGGGGGCGGAGAAAGAATGGGGACCAGCCCCGCGGGGGGGCGATGCGGTAGCTGCAGCGGCGGCCGCAGGAGTTTCCCACAATGCAGCGCGGCGCGCTGTCCCCGGTGCTGATGCTCAGCGCTGCCCCGGAGCCTCCGCCGTGCCCGCCTCCCGCCCTTTCCCCGCCGGGCCCCAGCCCCCGCCATGGGTCGGCTCGGTCCAGTCCTGCCCCAGAGCCGTCGGGGGGCCTGGGTGCGGCTCTCGACAGCAGCCTGCGGGCCGCCGTGGCGTTTAAGGCGGAGGGTCAGCGCTGCTACCGAGAGAAGAAGTTCCGGGAAGCCATCGGCAAGTATCATCGGGCACTGCTGCAACTGAAGGCGGCGCAGGGGGCCCGCCCTGGAGGCCTGCCCGCTCCCGCCCCCGCCCCCGGGCCCGCCACCAGCCAAGGGCCAGCCCGCCTCAGCGAGGAGCAGCGGCGCCTGGTGGAGAACACGGAGGTGGAATGTTATGACTCTCTCACTGGTACGGGGCCGTCGGGGAGCGCAGAGGGTGCATATGTGAGAGGGGTGGGACGTGAGAGGCACTAGTCAAGCCTTGGGGGGGCGGCTGGAGGCTTCAAGGGGCTAGGGCTGGGGTCTGTGGTGGGAGACCTCAGAACTTGATCAGGAAGAGGGGTTGGGAGTCTAGGGGACCACAGGGAATGGAAGGAGCTGGGATGCAGGAAATGGGCTTTGGGCTGCGACCTGCGAACCTCAGGTGAGAAAAACCTACCTTGGATGAGCCATTCAAGGACCCGTCCCTCACCTCTGAGATCACCCTTAGTACTCTCCCCTACAGACACCTCCCAGCTAAGCACCTGTGAGCCCCTGTCTGTGTTTTTCGCGCCTTCTAGCGGCGGTGCAGATTGATTCTGTCTTGATTGGTCAGAAGCTTGGCGGCCCCCGGTGGCCTGAGCAATCCCTTAGGCCGGGTTCAGCCGTGGGAAAGGGAAGGGGTCCTCCGCAGCCTGAAGGCCAGGCTCCTCGCGGTCAGGTGAGGCCTGGGGTGTCGAGAGGCTCTGCGAGTGTCGGTCGTGGTGCCCCCGCAGCCTGCCTGCTGCAGTCGGAGCTGGTGAACTACGAGCGGGTGCGCGAGTACTGTCTCAAGGTGCTGGAGAAGCAGCAGGGCAACTTCAAGGCGACCTACCGCGCCGGCATTGCCTTCTACCACCTGGGCGACTATGCACGTGCTTTGCGCTACCTGCAGGAGGCCCGCAGCCGGGAACCCACAGGTGAGGGGGCGGGGAGGGAGCAGGGAAAGGGGCTAGAGAGGAGGAAACAAGGGCAGGAGGATCAGGGCAGAGCTGCTTCAATGAATGCTGTACCCCTCACCCCACGTCCGGCCTCCACCCATCTACTACTTGCACACCCACTCCTCCACTCACCTGCCGTTCGTTCGCGCCCACTCACCCCTCGTTCCTCTGGCGTTCACCCAACCACCTCTCACCTGTTCCATCCTGAGCCCGTCCTGCTGCTTCCCATTTACCTACTCAGCCACTTCCCTGGCCACTCACAACCCCCTCCCCCATCACCATTTTCCCCTCCCCCTGAATTAATTCATCTACTCACTCACTAACCTGTTCACACACTCACCTATTCTTTCACCTGTTTCCTGGCAGTGCCAGGAGATTGGCAGGGGGCGGGGTTGGCAGAGCTGGAGGCTTGTTCCTTGCCCTGTGGGAGGTCATAGGGTGTGTGTGCGGTGGGGTGGCGGCAGACACAATACTCAGTTCTGTATTAGGAGCCACTGAAGAGGGAGCACAGCAGGTGCATGACACAGGGTGTGGGAGCAGGGGCAAGATGAGTTTTCCTGCTGAGCAGTTTGGAGGGAACAGGCTTCTTACAGTTATCACTGGAGGGTAAGAAGTGTGACAGGAGTCTCTGAGAAGAGGCATTCCTGGCAGAGGGCACAGCAGATGCAGAAGTGTGGACGTGTGACACGCCCTGCTCTGCTTGCTCGGTTGGGGCTTTGGGAGAAGGGCTCTGGCTCTACCAGCCGTGGCGGGGTGGGCCGCCGAAGGCCGGGGTCCATGAAGTGTGAGCCGAGGTGGTGCAGATGTCACCTGCTGCCCCAGGACACGCAGATAATGCCCTGCCCACCTCCCCTGCAGACACCAACGTCCTGCGCTACATCCAGCTGACTCAGCTGAAGATGAACCGTTGCAGCCTCCAGCGGGAAGACAGTGGGGCTGGGGCTGCGTCCCGGGGTGTCACTGGCTGAGGCCAACTTGGGGGGACCGTTCCTACCCCCACTGCCCCCCACCTCACCATGTAACTTCCCCTGACTCATGTGTTTGCTGGTAAAGCACTTGTCGCTGGTGACCATAACCTCTCCGCGTGGTATTCTTGCGGGGGCCCGGGTGGGGACATGGGCCTGGACTTCAACCCCTGGACCTCGGAGATCCAGCGAGGCCTGGGAGCATGGGGGGGGCGGGTGTCCCACTGGGCACGATCTAGGATCAGGGCCCGGCACAGGGAAAGACACATAGCCAAGCGTGGTAGGGGGCAGGGGTTACCTTTAATGCTGCATTTTGTGCCGAATCCCCCATGATGCCCTGTCCCTGAGTATCCCTGCCCACCCCCCCCCCCCCCCCCGGGCAGGCACAGGGCCCCCCCACCCCCGGGTACAAAGGAATAAATTAATTGCCCTCCCTCCCCCCCCTTCCCCAATAAATAGAGTGAGTATCCTGCCCAGGGCCTCCCCTGCCTTGTGGCACGGTGGGCTGGGGCGGGGCCTGGGGCGCTACATTCATGGCTGCCCAGGCGGGCGGTGGTGGGCAGGCCTCAGAAGGAGCCGTGGGCCCCACACAGGGGCACTGTGCTGTCCTGGCTCTGCCCCTCCATATCCATGTCAAGCAGCGTGGGCTGCATGCTGGGGGGCCCGGGGCTCTCCGGAGTGTCCGGCCTGCTGGGAGGAGAGATGCTGAGTGTCTGGCCAAAGGAGACCAGTTTCCAGGGGTCCAGGCGGGGACGGCTGGCAGCTGGCCGGGGTCGTGGGGCGAAGGTCAGGGTGGTGGGACGGCCAGGGAACTCGGGGGGCCGACGGCGGGTGGGAAACAGGCCCTGGGGGTCGGGCAGGCGGGGGAAGTCCAGAGGATCTCGAGGGCCTGGTAAGAGAGGATCAGATGAGGTGAGTGGCGTGGGCCAGAGGGTGGTGTTTAAAAGCCAGGAGCATTTACATGAAATTGGAATTTGACTTCTCTTGAAAAATCTGCTGATTTTGTTGGGCCCACTTTCCAGCAGGGTTTGGACCTTTACCTAGCCACCCCCCGCCAACTGCTCAATCATCTGGGTGCAACTCTGGGCACAGTCCTTTATCTTTCAGAGCCCATTTCCTTGCTGTACTCTAGACAAAGCCCTCGTCCCTCGCACCTCTCTGACACTGAGCCAGGTTCACAAAGACCCACAGAGACTCCTCAGGCATGTTGCTGTCTGTGAATGGGGATGACAGCACCTTGCTACATAGGTGAGGATTAAATAAAATGATAACAGTAATTGTAGAACAAGTAGCACAGTGCCTGATAGGAAGCTCTTAGCTCCTGTCTGTCCTAATCATCTTTGTGAGTTAGTGAACTGTATAGAACAGGGCATAGCACATGGGTATTAGCTCTAGTAACTGTTGTTGCCATTAATGCCACCTGCCTGGCCCCTGTAGGCATTAGAGTTTGCCAGCCCTACTGCACCCTGCGTCTCAATTACCCAGGGACTCACAATGCCTCACAAAGCAGTGGGGGCCATGGGGACACAGACCCTCCTCGCCATGCTAAGCAGGGGAGGATGCCTTAGCATCCAGGGGGTCGTCGCTGGGCTGGGACACAGGGCTTTGGTGGGGGCACGGGAGATGCGCCTTTTTCTGCGCCGTGGGCGCGTGGAGCCTCACTCACCAAGGCCAGGGCCGGTGGGCTCGGGCGCCCCCCGCTGCCCCAGCGCCCCGTCTGACGGCGTCCTCCGGTGCCCGCGGCTCACAGCGCGCGCGGCCGTGACGTGGGTGGGCGTGAGTGACTGGCGGGGGTCCTTCTTGAAGCTCTCCAACTCCAGGTCCACCAGGGGGTTGGTGCTGGGCGCGGGTGCGGGTGGGGAGGGCGGCGGGGAGGGCGCGGCCGGCGCGGCCTCGTCGCTGTCGGAGCGCAGCAGCGAACGCGTGGAGTTGCAGTCGGACACGGACGACAGCGACACGAGGGTGGCCGAGGGCGCCAGGCCCGGGCTGGGGGCCGCGTCATCGCGGCGGCTCGGGGAGCGCCCGGGTGGGCTGAGGCCCCGCGGGAAGCGGCCGCCGCGGGGGAAGAAGAGGCCATCGAGCCAGCTCCGCGGCTCCTCGCCGTTGGCCGAGCGCACCTCAGCCACGTCGGCGCCCAGGCCCACGGCGCCCAGCAGCGTGGCGCAGCCCAGCAGCGCGAGCTCACAGCGCCGCCGGGAGCCGTGCCCGGGCCGGGCGGGCGGCGTTGGCTCCCACGGCGCCCGCGCCCCGGGAGAGGGCTGGCTGGGCAACGGCACCGTGAGGTAGGACGGGGTGGTGTAGGGCGAGGGGGGCACGCTGCTGCCTCCGTCCGCCTCCGCGAATTCCTCTGCAACCGGGAGAGGGCCGTCACTGGACTCGACTCACTTAACTCTAGGCGCCTGGCCCCTCGGCCCACCCCCCCTCGGATCTGGAGGCAAGGGGTTGCCCCAATGAAATGACCCCTCCAACAAGAGCGCCAAGGCCCACTAGGTGTGGTTCTCGATTATTTCTCCCCTCAAACCCCCTCCTCCGGGGAATGATCCCCACACCCCAGGGACCAGCTGCTCCCATTCCAGGTATGTGTCCTACCCTCTGGCCCAGTGAAATCCGGCTCCCTCCTTGCAGCCCTGGGGAATGGTCACCCCTTGGTCTTGGGTTACGGTCCCCTTTGCCAGGGAATATTCCTTCCCCCTCCCTTTTAAAGGCACCCTCACCCTCTTACCCATCTCATTGAGGCTAGCAAAGCCTGGGGTGATGGGAGTGTGTTTGGGGGATTTGCCCAGGTTGGGGGCACTTGATGACCACTGTTTGCTTCCTTCTCCCAGGGCCTTCAGCCTGCAGGGGTCACCAAAGATGGGAGGTTATAGGCCTCCTGGCTGCCAAGGGCCTGGGGAAGAGGCACAGGGTGTGGGATGGGCTCCATGTAGCCAATACCTCTCCTCTCCTCCAGCCCGCTCCTTCTGCAGCGTGGAGCTGGGCCCCCAGGTCCGGCCCTTCTTCTTGCCCCCAACCAGTTCTTCCTTCTTTGGGGGTCCACTGTTGCGGCCCCACGTCCCACTGCCACCACTGCTGCTGCCACTGCTGCTACCTCCACCACCATCCACAGGAGTCACTGGGCCGAGAGAAGCCACTTGGTTAGTGGGTCTTAGTCTGTCCCCGCTGAGCTCCCAGCCTTACTCTTCTCCCCTTGGTCCCACCCTCCACCTGGAAGCCCAAGGGAGCTTGGACTCCAACTCCAATCATGACCCTCCCCTGCTCTACATCCTTCCATAGCTCCCCACTGCTGTCAGGACGACGTCCAGCTTCCTCAGTTTCATCACCCGTCACTTCTCACAGCCTAACCTTTCAGCCATCCATTCATTCCCAAAGGTTTACTAGCACGTGCTATGTGCCAAGCCCGTGGCAGGTCCTGAGAAGACATCAGTGGGCAAGGCAGACAAAAGTCCCTGCCCTGGGGACTTCCCTGGTGGTCCAGTGGCTAAGACTCCGCACTCCCACTGCAGAGGGCCCGGGTTCAATCCCTTGTCAGGGAACTAGAGCCCACATGCTGCAACTAAAGATCCCACACGGGGCAAAGAAGATCCTGCATACCACAACTAAGACCTGGTGCAGTCAAATAAATAAATAAATATGAAAAAAAAAAAAAAGTCCCTGCCCTGAGGAGTTTGCGTTTTAGTGGGTGAAGACAGACGATCAACAAGAGTCACACTAGGTACATCACCTGGGTGGGGGGCTAGGAGGTGATAATCGCTGTGGGAAATATAAAGCAGGTAAGGGGTTTGGGGAGTTAGGGAAGGTCTCGTGTGAGAAGGAGGAATATGGGCAAAGACCTGAAGGAGGTGAGGGAGCGGGTCAAGTCGATACAAGGGACAGGAGCCTTTCAGGCAGAGGGGAGATGCTGAGGCCCCGTGGAGTGTTCTGGAGCAGACTCGTTCCCTGCAGCGCCAGTTGCTCTCTCTCCTCTGCTCCTATCACATGTTGAACATACCCCGATGCTAGTCCTGACTTACTGTTTGGTCGTTATTTGTCTTTGCATCCCCCCAGGAGAATGACCTCTGGGGCCTGGTACAAAGCAGGTGCCCAAACAGAAATGTGTGTAGGGGGTGGTGTGTGGGGCGAGGCCAGGGGTGAATGATGGGGCAGAACAGACTGGGGAGCCGGCTGGGTACCCTTCAACTCATCAGCAAACCCTGACAGCTGTACCTCTGCCATGTAGCTGACTCACCCTCTCCCCTCTTCAAGGCCCCCGCCCTGGCCCAGCCCCCTCGTCTCACTTGCCTCCCACCTTGACTCCTGCTGTCCTCCAATCCCTACTCCTCATGGTGGCCAGAGGGAAAAGGTTAATTTTACCACATCACTGCCTTGCTCACAGCCCTCCAGAGACTACCCCGTCTCATTTAAAATAAAATCCAGATTCCTTATCCCAGCTCTTAAGGCCCAGTGTGATCCTCCCCTGCTGAACCCTTGACCATAAGCCTAGTGCTGTCTCTCCCATTCATCCTACTCCGGCCAAGTTGGCCTTCCCAGCTGATAAACACACCATGCTTGTTCCTGCCTCTGGGCCTTCGTCTTTGCTGTTCCCTCTGCCAGGGATGCTGTTCCTTCAGATCTCTGCATGTGTCACTCCTCCTTACCATTGCAGGTCCCTGCTCAAACCTCAGCTTCTCTGACAGGCCTTCCTTGTGATTTCAAACCAGCAACTCTTCTGTTTTATTCCCTTCCCTGATTTCCTTTATAGCGCTTACCACTACAGGAAATTATCCTGCTCACCAGCTTGTTTACTTGTTGTCTGTTTCCCCTCATGAGAATGAGGGAGGGGACCCTGCCCACCTGGTCCCCTGGTGTTGCTCTGGCTTGGTACAAGATATGTGCTCAGAGAAGTCTGTTCACTGACTGACTGGTCAGGGCCTTGGGAGATACTCACGGCGAATGGCCCTCAGCCGGGGGATGATGCTGGGGCTTGCGGGCGGGCTGACCCCATCTGATCCTTTCCGTTTGTCCAGGGTTGGAGAGGCCTGGACTGTGATCTTATGTTCAAAGCCTGCGAAAAGAAAGACTTCCCTAAGCACACGGTTCCATGGGTAGCCAAAGAGCGGTTCCCTTTGTAGAAGGATAGAAGGAATGCTACCATTTTGTATTCCTTCATGCGGTGGTTCTCAAAGTGTGTTCCCAGACCAGCAGCATCAACGTCAAGTGGAAACCTCTTGGAAATGCAGATTCTTGGGCCCTCCCTTAATCAGGAACTGTGGGGGGGAGGTGCAGCAATCTAGCTGCGGTGTAAAAGCCCCCCAGTTACCTCTGATGCACACTCGGGTCTGAGAGCTGCTGCTCTGAGGATCTAGGCCTGAGTGTCCAATATGGTGGTCATTATGCCACACACGGCAAGTGAGCGCTTGAAATGTGGCTTGTGCAGCTGAGGAACTGGAGAGTTCTACCTTTATTTAATTGTAAGTAATTTAAGTTTACCTTTCAAAACAGACCCTCAGTTCAGTCATCGGAAACATTTAGGCATGTTTGGAACAACTTTGGTATGTGAATCTGCCTTTTCAACTGTACGTTTTATGAAATCTAAATACAGCTCAAGATTTTTTGATGAAAATTTAGAGCCCAGATTGAGATGCACTGTAAATATAAAATACACCCTGGATTTCAAAGATTTAGTGTGAAAACAAGAAGCTAAAATATCTCATTAACAACTTTTCTCGTACTGACTACATGTGAAACTACAACATTTTGGGTATATTTGGCTAAACAAAATATATTAAAGTTAATTTCACCTGTTTTTTTCCCCTTTTTCATATGGCTACTAGAAAATGTAAAATTACACATGCGGCTTGCATTGTATTTCTGTTGGCTGGTGCTATTCTAGGCACTGCTTTAGGGCTTGTAACATCTCTTGTAACAAAGAGAGAAAAATCAGTATGATGTGCCTTCTGATGTTACCTAGGAAGCAATATTTAAAAAAAAAAAAAATCAAACCTGAACTTGAAACTGATTAAGCCCTGAGATCCAGCTATTAGGTTGAGCCATGTGAAACGTCTGTTTCTGTAGGTCAAAAATGGCTGAACGTCAGCAGTTTCACATGGTTTAACCTAATACCAGTTTATAGGAAATTCAGGGACAGAGCGACATGTTAAAAGATACCAGGGAGATGCAAGCAGTAACATCAGACTGTGGGAAATGCTACAGGATAAATGATGCAGTTCCTCAACCAATTATTGGCAAGGAGGAAAAAAAGGTATTAAACAAATATTAAAAGATATTAAACAAATTGCTGGGAGATAAGACTATAAGGAAAAGTAAGGAAGTGATTGCCCTAAAAGTCAAGACAGGGGTTACTCTTAGGGAGCGGCAGGGGGATGTGTTTGGACAGGGCGTGTGGAGGCATATGGGGTGGCTGTAGGTTCTCCCTGCTTTCATGGGAGAGATTCTACTAAGGTGTGATATATTTAGCAATAAAAAAAGTTTAAAAATAAATAAATAAAAGGAAGAGATAAGCCCCGGGTTAGGGATGCTCTCAGCGGCCTCTCAGGGATGCTCAGGGGACGTGGGCGGGTACCGGAGGGCAGGCTGATGTGGCTGCTGCCTTCTCGCAGCTTGAGCAGGCGGCTGCGCTTGAAGTTGCCCCTGCGTTTGCGGACCCTGGGCTTCTCCTGGCTCAGCTGGCACATGAGCAGGTGCAGCTCCCGCTCCACGATGTCCATCTCACGCTCGGCCAGCTCCTGCTCGCGCCGCCGCAGCTGTTCTTCCTGGAACCGCTGCTCCTGCGCCGCCCGCAGCAGCTCCTCCTCGCGGCTACGGAGCTCCTGGAGAGGAGATGAGGGGCTTGGGGCTAGGAGCTTAGCTACTCTGCCCCTGGGGATGGCTCCAGGGCTGCTGGGTCTGGTTGGTGTCCTGCTCAGGGCTGTCCTGCTGTGGGGCAAACGGGGGGCACAATCCAACTTACACTTCACTAGCCAGGCTGGGTGCCGGGGCAGGGGACTGTCTTAACTCAAAGAAAGGGGTGGCTTTTCTTTTTTCCTTCCTCTTTGATTTTTAATTTTTTAAGTCTTCAATTTGGAAAACATCCACAATGGAGAGAAAAGTGTGCCCCATGTACCCATCATCCAACTTCAACAATTTTCTATACTTTGCAAATCTTTTTTCATGTATCACCTTCCTTCTCTCCTCTCTCCCCATTTTTGCTGTAGGATTTTAAAGCCAGTCCCAGACCTCATGCAGTATCACTTGTAAGTACTTCAGTGCAGGGCACCTTTTTTTTTTTTTTGGTGGTATGCGGGCCTCTCATTGTTGTGGCCTCTCCCGTTGCGGCGCACAGGCTCCGGACACGCAGGCTCAGTGGCCATGGCTCACAGGCCCAGCCGCTCCGCGGCATGTGGGATCCTCCCAGACCAGGGCACGAACCTGCATCCCCTGCATTGGCAGGCGGACTCTCAACCACTGCGCCACCAGGGAAGCCCCTGAGGGTGCCTTTTTTTTTATCAACCTTCCAACAGGAGGCTGTCTTTTCTTAATATGCAAGAAAGGCTCCCTTGGCCCTGCATGGACCCAAAGACCCCTGGGCTCAGGGGAAGGGATTCTGCCCCATCCAAGGCATCAGAACTCAGGGATCTTGCTCCATCCCTCCCACCTTGCCTCCTGCCTTCACCTTCTCCTTGGTCCGGAGGTCATCGAACATGTGTTGAATCTCCAGCTTCCAGTCTTCCTGCAGCGAGTGGAAAGACTCCAGCGGCATCTGGAACAGGGCTGACTGTTCGATGACTTCAAGTTGCTTCAAGATGCTGCCAAAATCTGGCCGCCCGTGGGGGTCTGGGTCCCAGCATTCTGGGGTGGGGGTGGAGAGGACAGCAGTGGGAGTGGAAATGTCAGTGGCCATGCTCTGGGGCATCGGCCTGCTCAGTGGAGGCAGGACTTTAAAGGACTGTGGACAAACAGCTCCCATGGAGCCAAGGGGAAGGAATTCAAAGCCAAATTCCTGGCAATGTTTCACTTGGTGAAACTCTGGGGAGAGAAACTCAGGGACCTGTTCCCTGACTGGTGGTAGAATCGAGGATCAGGGAGGAATCCCAGGGCCAGTGAGTCCTAACAGGTTGCCCTCAAGAGCTGTGGGCCTAGCCAGAACACAGGTCTGGAGGCCATGGAGCCAACTGTGGGGGAGACTGTTCATGGTCCCATGGTTCCAGCCCCTTGTCCCTCACTCCTGGGCCCAAAGGTATGGTTGGGTGTGAAAGAGTGAGGTCTGGGCCTGAGGGCCCCTGCCACCCCTAGCTGAGCCTACCCTCTCCACGGGGCCCTGGCTCACCCTCCAGTAGGCGGGCAAAGGGCTCGGGGCATGTGGAGGGAATGGGCAGAGTCAGCTTGTTCATAGCCACACCATATGCCACGGCCAAGGCGTCGATTTCACGGTAGGGGACCTCACCCGTCAGCAGCTCCCAGAGCAGTACTCCGAAGCTGCAGGTGGGGGAGAGGGAGGGGTGATGCCACAGCCCACCCTAATCCCCACCTACACCCCAGCCCTGCCTCCAGTCCCATGGTGGGCCTCCCTCCCCCAAGCAGCCAGCCCTGGCCAATGAGGCTGCAAGAACCTGATTTGACCTCTATCGGCCTGATCTGGTGGGGTTGGTTCTCTGATGTCTCTCCTTTGCTCTGCCTCTCTCCTGCCTGAAAACCTTCAGTGAGTTCCCCATGCCCACTGAGCAAATCCACCCTTCTTAGCTCTGATCTTGATGACCCCTGTAGCCTCGCCTCTAAACACTCTCAGCCCCGTACCACCCCCAGCTTCATCTTGCAGCCACGCTGAACAGTTGAACAAACGCTGTTCTTCCTAACCTCTGGCCTTTGCACATGCTGTTCCCTTGGTTGAGAACACCCTTTCCTTTGCCTAACAGTCCTTTAAGTCACAACTCGGGTGCCCCCTCTACCTGGAAGCCTTCCTTGATTCCACAGCCTCCAAAGCTGGGTTGGAAGCCCCTTCACTATGTTTCCATAGAACCCTCTGCACTTACCTCTAAAAACAAGTTAACACTATTTAATATTTATAAAGCACTTACTCCAGGCCAGCACTGCTCGAGGCCTCACAACAGTCCTGTAAGGCAGAAGGCACTGGAATGACCCTCATTTTATCCAATGAGCAGGTGCAGGCAGAGAGAGGTTAAGTTGTTTGCTTAAAGTCACACTGCTCATAAGTGATGGAGCCACACTGAGACTTAGGTCTGTCTGATGCCCACGACAGCGTCCTTAATGGCTACACAATTCCAGAGCATGCATCACTGTGCTACGATCACCTGCGTGTCCATCTTCTCCAGTAAACTGTTCTCCTTCTGGATCCTGATCCCTGTTTCATGCAGTGCCCAACACGTAGTAGATCCCCGTGCTCCCCCGTTCCATGCATTCATTCAACATACACTTATTAAATGTCTGCTGTGTGCCAGGCATTGTTCCAGGTACTGGAATAAGATAGACACCACCCCTGCCCTCATGCAGCTGACAGCGTCCCCTCCTCTCAGTGACAGCACTGGTAAATTTGAGCTGGGCAAATGCTGCCTGAAATAATTTTCCATCCTCCTTTGCATCTAAGTGTGCCCATATGGCAACGGTTCTGGCCAGTGGGATATAGAAGAGTGTGTAGTGTGCAACTAACTTCCAGGAAGTGTCCTTAAAGGGGAGGGGTCCCCTTTCCTCTTTTCTCCTTCCTCCTGGTTGGAATATAGACATAAAATCTGGAGCTCAAGCAGCCATTTTGGACCATGAAGTGGACTTGGGGATGGAGGCTATACAAGGTGGAGAAGAGTAACAGTGGCTTGTAACTGGAGGGGGCCAGACCCTCCCCTCACAGCCTCTCCCACGTCTCTGGAAACCTGTGGGGATGTTTTGATTGTCACAATGACTGGGGAGTGCTACTGACATTTGGTGGCTGGGAATCATGGATACTTAACATCCTGAAAGGTACAGGACAGTACCACACAAGGAAGAATTATCCTGCCCAGTGTCAATGACACCACAGTAAAAAACCCTAATATAGGACTCAATCCCTAATGCTGGGGGTACTATATCGTGTAAAAGTCATGGGCTTTTACATGACAGCAAAAACATCAGTCTTGTTTTTATTTTGGGTTTTCTGTTCCTTGCCACTGAAATATGGCTCCTACAAATGTTTGGGACCATAAATGAATGCCTTATGTGAAGCAAGACTAAACTTCCCCCCAAAGGGCTGCGCTGCTCTAGTTGAGAATTCCTGTCTTATTTGTTTGCCCCAATACCATGACTTTCCAGCTTGGTCCATCTGGAGCCTCAGCCGGGGAATGATCTTGGTTTGGCTGCCCACCGCAAGTAGAAGGTTAAGTTTCTGCTGTCACCAGGTCTCGCAGGCAATGAACAGCCTCCTCATTGGCCTCCTGCCCCAACTCCTGTCCCCTACAATCCATCAGGCGAGGGAGCCTTTGCGATGTTAAATCAGATCATGTCATTCACAAATGCCTCTAATGGCTTTGCAGTGCACTTAGAATAAACCTGGATCTACTCCCTCACCTGCAAGACCCTCCGGCTCTCCCTCCTCCATCATTTCCTACTACTTTCCTCCTTGCCTGCTCTGCTCCAGCCACATGTTCCTTTCTGGAACACACCATGCTCGTTCTCACCTCAGTTCCTCCTCTGTGGAAGCTGTTCCCTCTTCCTGGAAAGCCTCTTCTCCTAAACTTTGCATGATTGGCTCCTTGTCATCCAGAACGCAGCTCAAGTACCACTTCTCAGAAAAGCCTTTCCCAAAGTCACCTCCAGCCCTCAGAGTGCCTTTCAATCAACCTCCTAGCTCGTAACACTGTCTAGTACTTTTCTGGTGGACTAACTTACTACCTTTTAAAAATTATTATTATAATTTCAACTTAAAAACAGCCTTTTTTAGCTTCTGAGGTATGTATTATTCCCGTGGGCAGGAAATGGGTCTGTTTTTATATACTGCTGTATCCCTAGCTCCCAGTGCAGTTGGATGGATGAATGAATGAATGAATGAATGGTTTCCTGTTTGATGAGTGGGGGCAGAGTAATGGATGGTGTTTGAGGGGTCTTTGGTGCTGACCACCTATCTTTATACTCCTGGAATTTTCAAACGTAATCCAAGTCCTCCTCAGCTGCCACTTCTGCTGGCAAAGCAGCCACCTGCTTTTGTGCTTGTCTGATGGTCTGACCTTGCTGGCGGGCCCCTTTGCCAGGCTCGGATCCCCGCTGCAGTGGCAGACCGTCCCTCCCACTCTGCCGTTTCCCCCTTCCTCCCTCCTCCCTTCCCAGGAGGCCTCCCCTGTCCCACCGTCAGCACCTCCAGACGTCACTGCTTTTGGAGAACAGGGAGAGACGGATAACCTCCGGAGCCATCCAGGCGTAAGTCCCCGCAGCGCTCATTTTGGTGGTCTTGTGCCACTCACGGGCGAGGCCGAAGTCTGTGATTTTGAGCACCGTATCTGCGAGGTTGTGGTTCTCGATGGCCTCCAGAATAAGGACTGTGGGTAGGAAGAAAGGTGGGTCACCCCAGACCTGCTGGCTGCAGCCCCATGTGTCCTGCCCCCGCCTCAACTGGAATCTCCTACTTGTTCTCTCCCTGCCGCCTGGGGTCGCCCCCCTCTGCAGCAGCTCCTTTCCTGGCCTCGAAGACCATGAACGCTTTCCTGATGGTCTAATCCCTGCCTCAGGCTCCCATGAGGCGTTGGGGAGCTTCTCCTGAGTTCACTGGCCTCCTGACTCCAACTTGGGCTCAGGGGAGCTCAGTGAAATGTCGATGGCCATGGCCTTGGTTCTCCTCGGTCCAGGCCTTGAATTCCCAACCACCGCAGAAGTTGACAACTACAAACCATAAGCAGAAGGGGATGGTTTTCCTTTCCTTTTTGTCACCTGCTGTGGGTAGCTGCATTCATGGCCCCAATTCTGCTCCTTTCTGTGTCACACTCTTTGTATCTCCACATCCTTTACTCTGGGTTGGCCGTATGACTTGCTTTGTCTGATAAAATGAGGCAGAAGGGACAGAATGCTAGTTCCAAGCCCAGGCCTCTCATGTCTGCTTGCCCTCTTGCCCTTCTGCCATCACTATGAGAACATGCCTCGGCTAGCCTGCTGGTCCAAGGAACATGAGAGATACTCGGAGCAAAGCCTCTCCAGCTGAGCCCTGCCTAAATCAGTTTACCCTCCATCAGGCCTGCAAATGTATAAGCAGTAATAAAGGACACTGAGTTTTAAGACACCAAGTTCAGGGAGGGTGGGAGGGTTGTTACACAGCATTATTATGACAAAAATCTGACTGATATATCCCTCAAGCATGTTGAATGGTTCCAACTTACTTGCTGTCTAGGGTTATTACTAACAACAATAATAACCATGGCTAGTGTTTATTAGGAGCCTATTATATGACAGGCACTGTGCTAAGCCCTTTATACAAATTAACTAGCAAGCAACCCACTTTATTGACTAGCAAACTGAGGCTCAGAGAGATGAAGTCACTTGGCCGAGATCACACAGCTAGAAAATGGTGGGGGGAGTTCGCGGGCGGCCTAGCCGTTAGGATTCTGGGCTTTCACTGTTGTGGGCCAGGTTCAATCCCGGGTTGGGGAACTGAGATCGCACAAGGCGCACAGTGTGGCTAAAAAAAAAGAGAAAATGGTGGGGCAAAAACCCAAACTAGATCTGTCATCAGAGTCCAATCTCTTAACTGCCGTGATATTCTACTACCTTCTGTCAAACAGAAGGTAGTATACAGTAGTATCCTGCCTGGGTTTGAATCCCAGCCCTGCCACTTATTCGTTGCATAATCTTATTTATTTTATTTTTAACACTACGATTTCTCCTCTGTTAAATGGAGATGATAATGGCATTGACCCTCTAGGGTTGTAGTAAAGCATTATTTCCTGAAGCAATAGTAGGCCCTCTAAAAGCATCAGCTCTCTTTATTAGTGTGTGATGTTGCCATAACTGTTCCTTATGTCTCCACCTTTATCTTTGGCCATTCCTGGCTACTTCTCCAATCATCATAACAATGAGGCAATCCTGCTGTCATACCCATTTGGCAGATGAAGAGACTAAGTTTTAGAGAGCTCAGACCACTGCCCAAGGTAACACTGTTGGTAATCTTGTCCCTTCTTTAAAACCCAACTCAAATGTCACCTCCTCCTGGAAGCCTCTCGAGACTCTCTAGCATGTGACTCTACCTCCCAGAAGTTCTCCCTTCTCGAGTCACCAACTTCCCTGTTTGTGGAGTGACCCTGTGACAGAGGGAACACCCCATGGTCTTACACTTTATTTCTGCATCTCCCAGGCTGGGCCTAAATCAATTCACTTTAAAAAGCATTTATCTGATTATGCTACCCCTGCTTAAGACCCTCTGATGGCTTCTACTACATTGAATAAAATATCCAAAGCACTCACAGGGGCCCCCAAGGTTAATGTGATCTGGCCCATCTACTTTTATGACCTCACTTCCTTCCACCTCTGCCTCCCTCCTGCTCTTCCGACCTCTTCGGTCTCCTTGCTGTTTCTCCAACAAGGCAGCTTCATCCCCACCTCAGGACCTTTGCCATGCCTAGATCTTTGTAAAGCTGGGTCCTCTGGGTTCAGGTCTCTGCTCAAGTGTTGCCTTCCTGGAGCTCTGATCTAAAGAGCTCCCTCTGCCCCATCCTTAATCTGCTTTGTTTCCTTCAGAGTCCTTGAAACTCTCTGAAATTTTGTTACCTATTTAAATATCAACCATCTATTTTTGTTCACTAAACTATAACTTCTATGGGGGGGGCTCTTGCCTCATTCACATCTGTCTTGGCTTGTTCACATCTGTAACCCCAGAGCCCAGGACAGTGCCTAGTACACTTAATGCTGCTTCAGAATTATTCGTTGAATAAAACAATGAATGAATGGCGTCAGATGAGGATCTCCTCAGGGGAGGCTGAACGGGGGAAGCTGTACTGTGGAGGCCCTGTTTCCTCTGTCTCAGGCATGGAGCAGTTCCATTGCCCAAGCAGGAAGCCCTGGCCTAAGAGCCCCACCAACCCTTTGTCCAAGTGGCATTGGCTACAGAAAAACGTGGGGGCGTGGGAGCATGTCCTGATACCCCACCTGCAGGCTGTGAATCAGCAGGGCTGAGGCAGGGCTGAGAAGGGACCCCAGCCTTCAAGAGGAGCGTGTTGGCAGTCCTGCCTCCATTTACCCAGCATTTCAGGAGTCAGAGCATCAGCATCAATGGAGATGGGGACCATCAGTCTGTCTTGCTCAATTCTCTGGGGCTGGTGCAGGGCTTGGCGCACCCCGGGCACTCGGTAGCTATCTATCTGTTGAGTGTATGAATGCCAGGCCTGCCAGGTAAGGAAGACTCTGTCCCTCTATTCTAGGGGCTTGCAGTTGGTGGTGGTGAGGCCTAGCAACGAACATGAAACAGTGGGATGGGGGTCAAACAAACTTCAAGATGTAGAACTGACAGGAGTCAGAAATAGATGAGATGTGAGGGCTGAGGACAAAGAGAAAACCCTCACCTATCACGTGAGGGCAGGGAACATGCTGGCCCCTCTCACTACTGATCTCTCTTGCTTAGTATATGATTTGGCCCAGTAAATACCAAACGAAAGAATAAACTGAACAAATAAATGCAGAAATGAAAGGGAGTGACATGAGGCAGAGGAAGGACGGGACAGCCAGGAAGGTAGGATTTTTTTCCCTGCTGTATCCTAAGGGTCAGGACAGGGCCTAATACACAACAGGTGCTCGGGAAATATCTGGGAAATGAATGAATATCCGGGGAATGACTGTGAGTGCTGTAAGGGCAGAAACCATGGCTGTTTTGGTCCCTGTTGGGCTTCTACTTGATAGGTGCTCAATTAATATTTGACATCATGAGAAGCTCCTTGAACTAGATGTAGGTTCTGGGGAACCTTGCCTTCCATCTGGCCCCAGACCTCATTCAACCAACCAATCAACTTTTGAAAGTCTATGACAGGCCAGACAGCTTGGATGCTTTTACATAAGCCACATCCCTTTTCCTCCTCCCTCATCTTTCCCAGTGTGTCTTGGCTAGCTGGGGCAGAGGCCTACGAGGACACCAGGAAGTGGTTCTCAACTGAGGGCTAGTCTGCCCTCCAGAGGACATTTGGCAATGTCTGGAGACATTTTTGGTTGTCATAACTGGGGGATGGGGGGTGGAGAATGCTAATGGCATCTAGTGGGTAGAGGCCAAGGATGCTACTAAGTAACCTACATCACACAGGACAGCCCCCTGCAATCATCTGGCCCCAAATGTCAGTAGCGCTGAGACTGAGAAACCCCGACTCTAGGCCAGGTTCTATCTGTCTCTGCCTGGTGGACTCTGGCAGCGTGGCTGGACAGTAAGTGCCATGAGGGCAGGCACTGTACCTGTCCTATTTACAGCAGGGAGCACAGGGCCTGTCACACTGTTCATTTATACATATTTATTGGGCTACTGTGACTGTAGCCTAGGAGGCAGGTATTCCTTCAACCTTTCTGGGCCTCCTTTTTCTCTCTTAATGGGGCAAGGACTGTCTCACCTGGCCCTGAAGGTATACTGCTGCCCCTTCCTGCCCCAGGCAGTGTCTTCTGGTGTCCCCATCCCGCCACCTAGGCTTGTCCTCACAAGGTTCTACGGAAGCAAGTTTTTTGGGGAGGACACCACTTACTGTTGATGGACTTGAGGTCCCGGTGGATGATGGGCACAGGGGCATCATTGTGTAGGTAGTTCATGCCCCGGGCCACCTGCACAGCCCAGTTGACCAGCACGTGAGGGGGCACCCTGCGCCCTGCCAGCACCCTGCTCAGTGCGCCCCCTCTGGCATACTCCATCACCAGGCAGAGGTGTGGGGGGCTGAGGCAGGCGCCCCTGAGGGCAATGATGTTGGGGTGCTGCAGGGCTCCGAAGAGCCGGGCCTCCTGGCGCACCTGCTCTGCTGTCACCGCTGGGTCCCGTTCAGGGTCCAGCCGGGCGGCCTTGACCGCCACCTCCTCGCCATGCCACAGGGCCCGATAGACCTTGCCAAAGCCCCCTACACCGATGATCTCCTCCAGCTGCAGCTCGTGGAAGGGGATCTCCTGGGGCAGCTGGAGGTCCGCGGGCGCGGCGGGGGTGCCAGGGGCCACGTAGTTGCTGGGGAAGACGCCCACACGGCCGCTGGGTAGCTGCCCGGTCCACCAGCCCTCGTCGCCCGACACGGCACAGTCCTGGGAAAGCACCTGGACGCGGTCGCCCCTCCGCAGGGTCAGCTCCTCCTCGCCCGCCGCCTCGTAGTCGAACACTGCGGTCCAGACGGGCCCCGCGGGGGTCGTGCCCCACTCCTTGGCCGCCCCCAACTCCTCCTCCTCCATGGGGGTGGGGCCAGGGGCTGCGGGAGGCCGCTTCACACAGGCTGCCCGCGGGATGCAGAGGGCGGGCCCCGGCGGCCAGGATGGGGGGCAGTCCCTGCGGGTTCTAGGGGGCTCCTGGGGGCCATGGCTGGGGGGCCCTCCGCAGGAGCAAGAAAAAGCCTCTTTAAAAGGGCAGGGTTGTCCCCTCTGATTCAGCTGTCCAGGCAGGGTGGGGTGGGGGAAGGGCGGCGGGTTCACCTCTCCCCCCTAAACGTCAGGGCGCTAAGAAGGCCTGGCCGCGCGGCTGCCGAATTCCTGCCGGGGTCCGCCGGTGGGGGACGAGGGTGAGGGAAGCAGGCAGCCCCCTTCCCCGCGCCTCTCACCCCGCGCAGCTCCACCGGCGGCCCCCGGCTCCGCATCCCGGGCCACGATCGCCGGGCGGGCGGGGCTGGCGGAGCCCCCCCCCCCCCAGGACGGGGTGGCGCGCCCCTCGGCCTCCTCACGCGCGGGGCGGCCGGGCGGCCCCCATCCTCAGCATCGGGCTCCCGGTCGGCCCCAGCCCCTGCCCCCGCCCGCGCCGCTTCCCGGGGCCGCAGGCAGTGCCTGAGTGACGTGCACGCTGCCGCCGTGCCGCGGTGCCGCCTGGGAGTTGTAGTCTCCGGCAGCGCGACTTCCTGGTCGGTCCCCAGTCCCCCAGCCTCCAGAGCCCGGCTGCGGGCCTCGGGCCGAAGTGAGGAGTGCGCGTGGGCGAAGGAATTCTCCCGGGGAGATAAGCCTGGCCTCAGGCCCTCCCTGGGACGCCGTAGGCCGGACGCCTGGAGGAGGAGAGGAGGAGAGGGCCGAGCGCTCCTCACAGGCCCTGCGGGGGCCGCGGCCCAAGGTGGGGTTGACGGTGACTGACGCTCTTCGCAAACCGAAAAGTAGCAGCTGCGTGAGTGGTGGTTACTGTCCGGAGCCTCTAACGCAGGCCAGGACTAGGTCGCCGCAGTTGGACTGCCCCTCGGGGCCCCGACCCAAGGTGCACGCCGGGAAGTGTAGTCCGTTCGCGAACCGGTGCTGTGGGGCAGTCCCCCAACCGCGGGCAAGGGAGAGCTGCTTGGTGGCTCCAGCAAGCTGGGGGGTCAGGCTGATGGTGAGGCCTCTGGGGGAAGGCAGGGCTGGGAGGATGTTTGTAGTGTCCCTGGGGAAATCACAACCACATCTGCTTTCCCCACCAGCCCTGGGTTCCTCTGCCTCTGCAGTCAGAACTCGAGAATCCCCGCCTTCCATAATGGGAATTTCAATTTTGTGGGGCTTAACGGTCATCTTATGCTGAGTGCTTTGCATACATGGTAGCGTTAAATCCTCGCAAAGCCCCTAGTTTACAGATGACGCATAGAGAAATAAAGTCACTTGTCCAAGGTCACAACTATAAATGGCAAAGCAACAATCAAAGGCATATATTTCTCTCCCTCTCTCTTTTTCTTTTTTCTTTGGCCGCACCGTGCGGCAGATCTTAGTTCCCCAACCAGGGATGGAACCGGTGTCCCCTGCAGTGGAAGCTCGGAGTCTTAACCACTCGACCGCCAGGAAAGCCCCTCAAAAGCATATTTTAAAATTAAAAACAACTACCACCACGACAATCATGATTTTTAAAAACACTGCCTTCCCATTTAAAGAGTGAGGAAACTGAGTCCTGCAGAGGTTCGATGACTTGCTCAAGATCTGTAAGCTTGTAAGCAGCAAAATTCTGCGTCTTTTCACTTAGCCTCTCCTTAGTGGTCTGGGGGTCTGGCGGGAGGAGAGAAGAGGGGAACTTTGATGGGCTCTGGTGCCCAGACTCCAGAGAACTGCCCCACAGTATCCTGGGAAATTGTTCCGCGCTCAGGGAAGTGGGTACCTGCTCTCCTGTGAGGGAAACTCTGGACCTCTCAAGAATGCTTGTTGGAAGAGAGGCCCCGCTTCATTCTGAGTACAGGCGTTTCTGCTATAACCTGATACATGCTTTCCTGAAAAACCTGTAGTTCTGCAAAACAGTGCACTAAAAATGACAAGGCTTTATGGGAAAAATAGAATTAGGGACAGATTGCTCAAAACGTATGCAACTTAGTAATCAGAGTGCTACAAAACCAATAACGTTTACTTATTTATTTTTTAATATTTGTTTAGTTGCACCCGGTCTTAGTTGCCACACGTGGGCTCCTTAGTTAAGGCATGCATGTGAGATCTAGTTCCCTGACCAGGAATGGAACCGAGGCCCCCAGCACTGGGAGCGCAGAGTCTTATCCACAGCACCACCAGGGAAGTCCCAATAACAATTCTAATAGAAATACTAGCACAGTTAAATATACACGGGGTATTTGTGCTTAGCAATCAATACTTTAAGTGCCTTCTTTGCAGTCTTAAAGGCTGGGGCTTGTACTTCCTTCACAGAGATGCCGGCTGGAGATATTAACTTCTAATGGAGACCATTTTCTTCAAAATTAAAAATCTGATCCAAGGTGTAGTCTTCCTCATTAATCTGTTATTTTAATGTGGGAAAATATCGTTGCAGTTTCTTCATCTGCTTTCACAGCTTTGCCACATACCATACCCTTGTAGCAAGCAACGGGTCTTTGAAATCACTAAACGATCCACGGTGGATCTAAAGGAAGACATTTCTATAGAGTTGCAGCTTTTCCCCTTAAGATCTTCTTTTATCACTAAGGCTTCCTCTTTGCCTGTGAGAAACCTTGCCCTTGATTGCTTCAAAATGTTAACTTCCTAGAGAAAATTGCATATTAACCAACATGGCTGTGGTATGCTGACATCCTTACTCTGTTTACCAATTGTTTATGGGGTGATTCAAGTCAAAGAAGGTGGGCAGCAGAACAGGTGGTCTCCAAGCAGATGCCTAGACTTAGGTGAGGAGAGGGACCCGGCTTGGTTCTAAACCTGGTAGGCTCTATAATGGAAATGGAGAGTGGAATAGCATTTGTCAAATCCATAAAAAAGTCCTTTGGATTTTGATTGGGATTATAATGAATAAATTATTAATTTGGGGAGAATATGACTTTGTAATATTGAGTCTTCTGTTCTTGGACAGGTATAACTTTTTTCCTGGGATATCTTATATGGCTTTCTTTGGTTCACTCACTGGATTTTACTGTTTTTACTTATTTACTTGTGGCCGGGATTTTGTTATTTTTTCCGAATCAGTTACTGCTGTTTTTAATGCTGAACTTGGATGTGGCTGCCTTGTTGAGCTCACTCTTATTTGTTCTAGAATAGCTTGACAGATAATTCTCTATACTGTTCCAGTTAGATGACCCTGGTGTCCAGGGAAAAAGAGACAGTTTAGTTTTTCCAATCTTTATAACTCATTTCTCACCCCTCACCCTTTGGCTGAGGGTTCCAATACAATGTTGAATGACAGTGGTGATAATGGACAATGCTTGTCTTGTTCTAGACATTTTAAAGGAATGCCCCTAAGGTTTCATCATTAAGTATGATGTTTTCAGTAGATTTCTAGTAGATTTCTAAATTTTATTCCTAATTTGCTGAGAAGTTTATTTTTTTTAAAAGCAGGCATTGACTTTTATCAAATGCTTTCTATGCATTTGTTGATATGATCAGATGACTTTTCTGCCTTAATCTGTTAATGATGAACCATCCTCTGTTTCACTATTGCTGGATTTGATTTAATAACATTTTCTTTAGGGTTGTTGTGCATTTGTTTTCATGAATGGAATTGACTGTCTCATGGTTTTCTTTCTCGCGCTGTCCTTGCCCAGTTATGACATAAGGGAAATGCTAGCTCTGTTTTACGATTTGGGGGAACCACCTACCTTTTCCTGCAGTCTGGAATGGTTTGTGATATATTGGAGTTATCTGTTCTTTGAACATTTGGTGGAATTTGACTGTAAGATCATCCATGCTTGGTGCCTTTTTGGTAGGTCTTTGGTTATAATTTCAACCTCTTCTGTGGATATTGGTTTATTCAGATTTCTTACTTTCTCCTGAGATAAATTTTTGTAATTTATATTTGCCTAGAACAATATTTTATCTAGGATTTCAGATTCATTGGTATAACTTTATGCATTTTATTTCTTATGAATCCTATGGATCTGAAGTTATATTTCTTTTGGCTTTCCTGATACTTATTTGTTCCTTCCCTTATTTTTCTGGATCAAATTTGCCAAAAATTTAAATAGAAAAACATTTCTGTTTTTACATTTTTTGCTCAATATTGTTTTATTGGTGTTTAAAAAACTCCCAGCTTTTTGTTCTATTGACGATCTCTTCTACTTATTTGTTTTGAGGGGGGGTATTTTATTTCATTAATTTCTTCCTCAATTGTTGACTCATTTTTTTGCATTTTAGTATTTATTTTGTTGTTATGTATACCCAGGTTTTGATTTGTAGTGCTTTCATTGTCATTCAGTTCCAAAAAAAAGTGTAATTTCAATTCCCCTTAACCCCCAAATTATTTAGAAATGTGGTTTTTAATATCTAGGTATATGGATTTTTCCTTGATTATCTCTTTTGTAGTTGATTTCTAATTTTATTTAATGAATGTATTTCAAATGACATAAATTCTTAGGAATTTGTTGAGATTTCCTTTATGACCTAGTGTGTGGCATTTGTTTGTTTTGTTTTGGAAGCGTGCTGTTTTTAAAGGATATACATTCTAGTTGTTGGGATAAGAGGTCTGACTGTACAAGTTTATTAATGATCTAATTCTTAACTATTATATCCTTACCTTTTTTTTATCTTGTTTTTTTTTTTTTTGCGGTCGCGGGCCTCTCACCGCTGCGGCCTCTCCCGTTGCGGAGCACAGGCTCCGGACACACAGGCCCAGTGGCCATGGCTCGCGGGCCCAGCTGCTCCGCGGCATATGGGATCCTCCCGGACGGGGGAACGAACCCGTGTCCCCTGCATCGGCAGGCGGACTCTCAACCACTGCGCCACCAGGGAAGCCCCTTTTTTTCCTGTTTGATCTATTGGCTTCTGGAAGGTGTAATAAAGTCTCCCATTATGAGTGAGGATATGTTCATTTCTCATTTTAGCTCTATCAGTTTTTACTTTATATATTTTGAAGTTATGTTGTTAGGTGCATAAGGGTTTATGATATTAATATGACACCAGTGAATTATTCCTTTTATCAATATGAAATATCCTTTGCTGTCCTTCGTAATGATTTTTGCTTTTAATGTGTCTTTTTTCATAACATTTCCTTGGTACTTCTCTTTCATTCATTCTTCTTTTTTTTTTCTTTTTCTGTGGGTTGATTTTATCATACTGCTTCATTTCTGACACACTATAGCAATAGTTTGTGTAAAGCTATCCTCTTATATTATTTTTTCTCCATATCCCCATTCCCACTTTTATTTCTTCCTCCACCTCAAAGACACACTTTCTGATTTATGTTTAATTTATGGTTCTTGGATATGTCTATATTTCTAAAACATGTATAGTGCTTTCTATATGTATATGTTTTTAATTTACAAAAATTATACTAAGTACATTTCTATTTTTACATTTTTTTGCTCAGTATTGTTTTAAGAGCAGTCTGTGTTGTTTGTGTATCTAGTTAATTGTGTCTGTTTGCTGCATAGCACTCCAATTTATTAGTTCACCATCCTTAATTATTCACCTACTAATGAAGAAGACCTACATTGCCTTGAATTCTTTGCTACTACAAACAATACTTCAGTCAACAATCTTGTACTTATATCCTTTGGGACTTGTGTGAGAGTTTCTCTGGATTATATACCAAGATTGGGATTGCTGGATCATAGGATATACATACTGCATTATGCTAACCAAAGGTGCATGATAGTTCCAAATTCTATATGTCTTTACTAATACTAGCTCCTCTCAGACCTTTTAATTTTGACCACTCTGATGAATTTAAAATATGTTGTAATTTTCTAACTGATTTTGAGGGAGGTTGAGCATCTCTTCAGACTTGTTAGCTAGCTAGATTTCCTTTTATGTTAATTG